AGATGAATCTCGTGGCTCCGTGACATCAATGTGTGGAACTACTTCACTCGTCTTGGATATAAATTGGCATGGTCATTACAGGTTACCAGTATTTGGAAGTATTTTAAAATTCCATTATATTTACGACATTCTCACAGTACTGGCTCTAGATGATGTACGAGACGATTATCAGCTCGTCTCTTGCTGAGCTGCTTCACTCCTCTTATGAAACGAAATTGCAAACCTTTCAACCCTCCCTGCACTCATTTCCTTAGTCAGGAATCATCTTTTAACAGAATATAGTCTCCGTGTTCCCATGGATATAGAATCCCTGATATTTGGGTAATTACCATGTCAGATATCTTACCCACAAAAGCTCATAAAATAAATGCTTCACCCCCAACAGAAGAGTAGGCCTATATACCAGCCTTTATATTAAATACACTCAAATTAAATAAACCTGCCTGACGTACACTGCGCGGTGCGTTATGTTATAAAGGTTCCTATTCATTTTGTCAATTTGCTTTGGTTTTCTTCTTCCTCATAAATCTTATATTAATCTAAAGGCTCATTGACTTTATACTTAAATAACTAATACTGTATGTTCGTGCCATCACATCGGCCCGCAAGTAAGCATCTAGTCACGCTGTTCTTGCCAACTATAATAAATAACCCAGACACACGACAGCCTCTCGGACGCTATGAAGTATCGCTATATCATGCGTGATGTAACTCAGTACCATTTTCATATATTCACAGTTTAAGAATGATTGTGACATAAGCTAAACATAAATTCTTGTTTTTTATTATCATTATTACCAGGTTACTACCCAGTTCTGGGTTACGTACACATCAACTTGAATTATGGTTGTAGGAATATTCTCTCAGCGGCCAGTTTATTTACAGTTATAACCAAATTCTTTCTGTGTCCCAATTTCTTCATTCATATGTAACAAAACTATTCAAATTCCTGGTAAATACATAACATGAACGCTACAGTGTAAATATCCCGATAGACAGCATACAATAGTAACATTCACTCTCCTTATAATACGTATTCTGATTTTTGGAAGTGTTTATGATTATGACGATCGCAAATCGCGTCTTAAATATACGTAAGAGGGTCGAGGAGCTGAAAACTGTTCCATGGACTTTTTTCAAGTTGTTAATGATAGCGTAAATTAATATGTATCTTTCTGTGAGTGTAAAATGTTTATATGAATATGTATTGATGGTTACGGTAAACCATTGTATCATAGATCATGAATTATCAGTTTTTTTCAGTCACCTCTATAACGTGCGTCACCCGAGACAGCGTCGCTCAATGGGTGTCTACACGTTTGTGCATTTCTGCGTAGATATTTTACTACATTTAAGCGTGCATAATTGTGCGTTTTAAGTGCATGTTTAAATGCATGTTCCATCGTGTATGCTTTAAGCTCAACAATCAAAAACAAAGAAAGGTCTCTATCCCCTGTATGATTTGACCTTGTATATTTTGCATTTACTGTACTGTACAGTAGCTAAAACAACTGTCTGTGCATACTTTGTGGGAACAATAAGACCATGGACGATAAATATTCGTATATTAGGGCTGTCACTAGTCACACGTAAAATTTCAGAACATATCGACCCCCCACTGTAGTACATTCAACAGTACTACTACTACATTATCTTCATATATTATTTGTACTGTGAGTTTTCCATTTTTTCTATATATCTTCTTTTCACTTTTAAGAATTCGGTTAGTTGTTTTCATGCTACAAGGCTTAAAAGATTCTCAGCGTAATTTCAAGCTTCAGGCAATGGATAGCGTTCCTACACTTCCTGATGCTCCTACGCGCACGGATCCACCGTCAGCAATCACGATTGCATGAGTAGGACGCACGCCATGCTGTTTTGCCGGGTGTGGCTGCCAGGGGTGTGGTGAGAAAGGGTTGGTTAAGAGATTCCTGAGTTATAATTGCAGAACTTTAGATATACTACACCGGAGATTGGGAACTTTGCAGCGGCACACAGACACACATGTTTTCCTGCTGCATTAATATATATATATATATATATATATATATATATATATATATATATATATATATATATATATATATATATATATATATATATATATATATATGTGTGAAGTCAGGTCACACACGATTTAGATTTACTCACGTGTTCCAAGGTCTGATCATGGGGGTGGGGAGGCACGTGCCCAGGTTACTTCCTATTCCAGGTTGGCATAATATCAATTACATAAGACTAATCTTAAAGGCTTGTCATAAAACCTTAGTTGGTTTACACATGTCTATAGTGAATACAAGGTAAGATAATGCATCTATGTTTCATCCCGTGTCTTAACGCTCTTCAAAAGTGAGGTGCCTCCTCGTTTGGAGTACCGTCTGGTCCCTGAGATATACTCGAAACTGTCAATTGATTGAGAACGTCCAAAAGAGGGTCACCAGCATGTTGCTTGCACTCCGGCACCTCAGGTACCCAGTCGAGTGTTCTTACCTGGAACTAGGGGTTACCAACCCCACTAAAGGTCACAACCTCAGATTAAAGAAATCACAAGTTCAGAAAAACGCCAGGGCAAACTTTTTTGGAGTGAAAGTTGTGTACTAATGAAAAAAAAAACTACCACAGTGTTGTGACGGCAACGAGTGTGAGTTCATCTAAGACCAGACTTGACCAACACTGGCGCAGGTACAGATAAATTATGGAGTCAGTACGGTACTGGCAGTACCTGTCAACACTGCGCAAGAGAAGTGGCCGCCCTCTCTCGAGCGGCCAATTGGCCAACTAGTGGCAAAGAGGGTGAAGTAAAGTAATGTAAAGGCCACTTTATTAACTATGATAAAGTTAATCAAATAGCTTTAAACTCTCTTCGTAATCTGTCTTATATAATAGTCCCGTGAAGGACGGGTTAGGTGAGAGCAGGTGGAAGGGCTCCGTCAAGTTCTCAAAGCCTGATACACCGTCGTAACCGGTCTGTGTGTCACCGTGACCCACCCATACCCGACACATGATGCTCACACCTCTGTTAAGCCTAATAAAGTGAACCTATCCTCCTCGCCTTCTGTATTTCTATCATATTGTTCGGTAAAACATAATGAATAAATTCACAGTACAGTATGTATGAATGAATGTTACTGCTCAGTATTACTTTTAGACTATAGTTGATTATTATTGATAAACATAACTAGTTTAAATACATACAGTATGTGGATACTGGTCCAGTTTAAACTTTTATTGTTGTTAAAATGTAATGTACGTTTACTCATACAGTCATGAATTTATAAAGAATTCAACTTTTGGGAAAACTTTATCGAGCATCAGAAGATAATATTTTAATCACTCACCGCTGTATAGTTTGATGTGTTCACTGTGCCAAGTAAGTGGGGAATATTAGTGGTCACCCCCCTACCCTGCAACCCCACACCCACACCCTTTTCCCAAAATGAAATAAGAAATACTATTCCAAATAAAGAAACTAATTGTGTCCTGTTGTACCTAGTTCATCTTAATAAACGTACAAATCAATTAAGTTGTGCCATAGCTGTAACACCTTATCGATTCATAGATAGATAAAATGCTGTCTCTATTCAGTAAAACTGGCATACAATTTAACACTTTGTTTGATATGTATATAGACGTTGCCGGGATACAGTTCAGCTAGAATATATTTATCTATCTTATTTACTTAATGGCCACTCGAACTAGAGGTGGTGGTGCTGAGAGACGGCCGTCAGTGGTCTGTGTAGGATCCCTCCATTGTCCTTGATAGTCAAGTCATGGGTAGTTTTGAAACTCGGAACTGTTCTCCTTCCTCAACTTGAGCTGGCAGCCTGTTCAGTGAGTCTACCACCGTCTGCGTAATCTTCCTGCATGGAATTTTAATTGGCTACCTTAAAGTTGTGTTCCCTCGTGTTGCGTGACATCACGAAAAAATGTCTGGGTTTACGTTTTCCATCCCTTACATGTCTCAATGAGATCTGCCCTGTTGTCTTATCTGAAAAGTTGTTATTAGACAACGCAGATACTGTATACTGTATACACCTAGACCGTATAAGCATTCATTGTTTTTAGAGGCACAAATTGATGTACAGAGGTGCAATATGAATACTATACAGGCGTTTTAAAGTTTGAACCCACCCTCCCTCCTACCCTCACCTTCCCCGGCCAGCAGGGAGTCTCCACTATTTTCCAGTCCATCCTTTATGCAATATAACTACATTTCACAATTGACTTCATCAAAAATTATAAATTGAAATGATTTATATAAAATTGAATATCAAACTTGAAAAGAACCATATATAATAACTTTACAAGAAGTACGTACCTCTGTTTTAACTCAATACGGTAACTAATTTAAGAATATTACTGACAGTTCTCAAGAGAAAATCATTGCGTAAAACTGTAATGTGAACCCTTTTAATAAGCCAGTTTAAAGGGCTTGTTAACATGCTGGCTCATCCATTTTATAATGTAATTAATTCAATTTAGTTGACTGTATCATACGATCGATGAACGACATGCTTGATTAAAATAAGTATAATTACAAAAAGGTAACTTGAATGTCTTTTCTCGTGAAATGGCAATACAGATACTGTAATGAGCATTTTACTAGACACATCTGATGAAATATACTTAAATCGTATTTTATCAAAGGAAAGCAATCACATTACAAAGTATTAATTTTATCATATTTTGTTAATTATCCAGTCATCTGTTCTGACCTTTAATGTTTCTGAAATTTGCTATTAGATGTATGAAAGGGGTTTAAATGTTGATTGTTTTGAGAGAGTTTTAAATTTCAAACATGTTTTAGAGTGTTTGGGGGGGATCAGCTGACACACTACCATATGCCACATCCAGCAACAATTAAAAGGGATTGGTATTGCTAATTGCAGGAACTGGTGTAATTATAAAAGGTTAAATCTATATGTAATTACAAATATATATGCTAATATTATTAAAAAGAACATGAAAAATATTTTAAAATACATTGTTGTGTGGTTGAGGTTGTGAACTACGTTTGGCACCAGTGGAGAGCAGCGGCAAGAGTGAGTGAGGAGGAACACGTGTTGGAGTCTTATTATTTTTCTTAAGACTTTCATTCGTTCAGGTAAGTAACCAGCGACTACATCACTTATCACAAAATTATGAATATGTGTCGTTTAATTCTTATATATTTTTATGGTTGAACGTCTATTGTACATGAGGTTTCACGACACCAAACATGACGAGACAGATTACCCAGTAACTATAACTTTGGTGAGGATATAAAAACTTAATGTTATTTAACATGACATTTGGTGGATTCACGCCCATGCCATGTATGTTTGACGCTGAGGACCTAACAGTGGGCGTGTTGCAGTTGATAGAGTATAGAAAACCTAATGTTCGGTAAATGTGTAGGAAAGTGGCTTACCATTTCTGCCTTGTGTTATTTTTTGTTTTTATCTATCATCAGGTGGCAGATAGATAATGTATGAATTTACAAGGTTAGTACAATGCATAAAGGGGGTGCAACTAAACAGCCATAATATGAATAATACTGTATGACTATTTTCTAGAAGAAAACTGGATCCTTTTCCATTATGCCCCGAAAATATAGTATAAGATCGTACGTTAATTTTGGATATAAGTCAGATTAGTTGTGTTGCTTAACAACCTACCAGAAAATATTTCGCCATTGAAAATTAAGGTAATATTGCAGTACTGTAAACAGTAACCACAGAATTCCCAAAATTCACTACATTCAATCGATAGAACTTTTTTTTCTATGATCATTTTCTTATATTACATTAAGTTAGGTAACACAGGTTTTTTATCAGATTCTTTGGTTGCTGTAATCTGCAATTTTACCCAAATTAAAGCTTTCTTACCTCATGGAATTGACAAAAAGGGCACAAGTAATACATTTTGCACCGTGCCAGTATATTTTTCAAGTGCACCTCCAACTCGGTCCATCTTAAATAACCAACTCGGCCCGCCATAAATAACCAACTCGGCCCACCCACTAGAGGTTCAGTAATGAGTATGCCCCAGGTGCATCCTCTTACACTTCGTGACATTGAATCTCAGCAGCCATTTCTTCGACCATTCTTGGAGCTCAGAGATCCTTCTGCAGCTCTTCACAGTCCGCTTGGTTCTTGATTTCCCGAAATAACCTGGCGTGATTCGCAGGGTCATTTATGAAACAAACAAACAAACAACAGCGGGCCCAATACACTGCCCTGTGGTACCCCGCTTGTGCCAGGTACAGATGATTTTGTGCCATTAATCACCACACACTGCTTGCGGCCATGTAGAAAGTCTTCTATCCACGCTAGGACATTTCCCCGAATTCCGTACCCTTCCAATTTGATTTTCAGTCTTTCATGGGGTACACTGTCGAAAGCCTTGGCAAAATCTAGGTACATATTGTCGATATTACCATCCCGTTCCAGAATATGGGTCCAAATATCCATTACCTTGAGCAATTGTGTTAAGCAGGAGTGCCCTGGCATAAAACTTTGTTGGCAATCCTTTACAAGGTTGTTTCATAGTAGATGTTCCATCGCGGCATCTCTGATAATACTTTCAAGTACTTGACAGACTATGCTGGTCAGGCTCACCGGTCTATAGTTGGTCAGGCTCACCGGTCTATAGTTGGTCAGGCTCACCGGTCTATAGTTGTTCGTGGAGTGACGATCGCCCTTCTTAAAGATAGGACTCGCATCAGCCATTTTCCAATCACTGGGGACCCTTTGTTCATCCAGGCATTTACAGAACAGGATCTTCAGGGGCTCAACAAGCTCGTTGCACAACTCTCTTAGCCCTCTGGGATTCACCATATCAGGGCCGGGACTTTTATGGACCTTTAGCTTTGACGGTTTATTTCTTGTACCCTCTTCTGTGAGCACAATGTGGGTCAGTGCTGTGTCGAACTGTCTGTCCTCAAACGCAGGAAGGTTAATCGCATCCTCTCTTGTGAACACCGAGGAAAAGAAGTTGCTCAATGCCTCAGCTTTATCCTGGTCAGAATGTGTTTAACTACCATCTTCAAGTCTTTTCAGTGGAGGTAACATCTTGCTTCAGACTCTCTTCAACATAAATGCTTTTTTTCTGTGTTTCCAGTCAAATTATTGGTCATTTTGAAATATATTTTACATATTGATAATATATAGTGCAGTGCAGTGTTGATTTAAAGAAAATAATCTTGAATTACATCTAGTGAACTGAAATTTTATGGGTGAAATGGCGGCATGGGGTGACTTCTCTTCCACCCCAATGCCTTCTCTTCTCCCTTCCCCTCCAACCCCATTCTAATTCCCATCATCATCATCATCATCATCATCATCATCATCATCCAGGAGCCTTCTACAAACACACCTCAAAGTAAGTGTACTTTTCTACCTTTTTTGTTGACTTTTCGGTGAGCTGGAACCAATTACCCAGAAACCCATTGAAACAATGGTTTCGGTTAACGAATTTTTCGGTTAATGAGCAACCTTCTAGAACGAATTGTGCTCGTTAACCGAGGGACCACTGTACATTACTGATAAGCAACATTGGGTTATAATTTTGGTATGTGGATGTGAGTTTAGATAGATTTCAGCAGGTTGCATTAATTGAAATCATATTTCTACATTGCAGTTTTATAAATGGAACTTCAATGTTGTTGTGGTAGTTGGAGATGAAATCTGTGATAATGGAAGTCTTAATGCAGCAGATGAGTTCCAGCCTCTTAGCTGTAACCAAGTTGAGGAAGCTGCTGGATATTCACCTTCCCCAAAATAAGGTAAATGTTTGCATTGAAAGGTAGCCAAAAAATAAAGCCAGCATTTTCTTGATGGGCTATAAGAGTGTACAGTATTTATTGATATTTTTTTAAGTATATATAAATACAGGGTATTAAGAACCTATATGAAAATCCATGCTGGTGTAATTTTAGGTTTTTGGTATTAAATTCAGGTGGGTGTTATTCTAATGGGCTCCAAGTCCAGTGGCTCCTATTCCTAATGTGTCCCACGTTTATACTAGTGTCATTATTCCCACTAAATCTGCAAAATTAAAACCCAGAAATCCACAGACAGTTGTGAATGAGACTAATTCATTAACTGTACTAATGTCTATCTGAAACAACAATAGTCCTTTAAAGAGGGGATAAAGGTGGAGGAGACTGCTAGCACCCGAAGGTGTCTATATAGTTGGTTCAGATTTTCCATAATTATTGTTTGGATGGTAGTAACTATGAGAAATGACACGACAACTTTTCCTTTAATTTTAATTGTTTTTTTTTTCTTTTTCTCTATCTACGCTCATAAATCACCTGTAGTGGGCAGGGCATGAAAGACGAGGGAAATTGAAGGGTAAATATCGGCAAAAACCTGATCATACGGCGCTCATTTCATGTCTCTATATGCTTTGTAAGTGAAGAAATTCAATACGTATTTACCGTAAATATTCCACCAATATATCTTCCGTGGCACCGAGTGTTTATGTCTTCTGTTAAACTTATAAATTTTGAATCCGGTCTTAATTTTTTTTTAAATAAACGACAGCGCCTCACATCAGGGTTTTTTTATTACCATAAATATCAGCTTGATTGTCTTTTTTCATGTTTTTGGCTTCACTTTTCTGATTCTTTTATTTATTGTTGGTGTATTTATTTTTCTTTTGGCACAATAGATTCTTAAACCTCTACTGTGTATAAAAAATGAGAATGATACTACAAGGGCATACTAATATAGATGTCTGTAATCTGACCCAGTCCCAAGAACTTCCACATTTTTCTTTATTGAATAGTTTGTCATTTTGTTATTTCAGAAGACCAAGCCACTTCCTTGGGTGGCAGTTGTTAAGGGCTTGGTCAACAGAGCTGCAGATACTTCCTCTGAGGTACCCCTTGCAAATGCTTTCACAATAATTGATATGTAAGTTCTCTTCTGGGTACATGTATTTATTAACTGACTGTATAATGAAGTACTGTATGTTGTTAAATAATTTGGATTAATTGGTTTTTTTTTTATGAAAATTATTCAATTTTTGAGTACTGTATCAGTACATTTGTATTAGAGTACAATATACAGTCATCGTTATAGGGCAATGACCATAGTTGAATTGACACTTTAGTATAGCAACACACACACACACAAAGCAGCAAGCTTCTCATGCAGGTTTATCCTTTTTTGGGGACAGCAAATTAAATAACACCTTGCAGAGAGGTCTAAAACACCCAGAACAAGATGGACGTTGTTATTGCATCCTCCTTGGCAGTCTTGTCTGTCACATCTACACCACCTCTGAGATTAAAGTAAGTTTGTTAATTGATGTGGAAATGTAACTATTTCTGTTTTTTTGTGAATATAAATGAAGTTTTCTCAAACTGATCTATTCTTAATGTTTACAGCTATAATTTCTAGTGTATACACTTTGGTCAGGTGGCCCTGAATATACTATACTGTACAGGCTTGCTATTGGTTGTAGGTTGTTGACAGGGCCTGTGTTGTGGGAGAAATGGCTGATTTTTTTATTGGCTTCAGCTACTGTGGGTCAAAGCTTTCTTGGATCCAAGTTCCCAGCCTTATGTAGAAATATTGTACTGGTATTTGTGAAATGTCATATGATCTTGTGGGATTGAGACTGAATAGCTGAGAAGAAAAAGAGTTCACTAAGTTGCTGTGGGTACAGTACAGTATATAGAGTGCATGGTAAATAAGAGATTGGTTAGAAAGATCTATGACAGCAAGGTTGATGGCAAGAGCATGAGTGAGAGGAAGACTGAGATAGAGTTGACTAGACTGTTTTGTAAATTAATAATAGCTTGAGTTGGGATTTTTGATAATGCTGAAGAGTGAATGGATCATAAAGTGCAGATTCATTTCATATTTTATAATGGTAACATACAGTACAGGCTGTGCAGATTAGCAGTGTCCGGCAGCCTGGCATGCCCGGACTAGGATACTTACCCAATGGACAAACTAATATTTTGAGGTATATATGCAGATGAAAATTTGTCAGGATGCTGCATGGTCACCAGGGAGGTCATCAATGTACAGTACCAGGATTAGTGATCTAGATCAAGTGCTGGTAATTTACCTCTACATTAAGCTACCAACCCACTTTTAGTCAGTCAGTCAACTTGTCAACATTTCGAAGGAACCACCAAGATGAAAGGCTCCTCTCCAGAAAATGATCATGTTAGAAGAGCCTCCAGGCTACCCTATCATTATATACCTCCTTTACCCTCTCTGTATCCCATGTATGTCTCGTATGTACTGTATTGTATACTGTATTTCTTTCCCACTATAAAGGCAGTCTCTTTCTACCCAACACACTTGCTACATTGTCCTCATACTCCTGTTTACTATATTTTCCTTCTGCATCCTTCTGACATTTCCATACCACCTCAGTGAACACCCCTTCACCAATTCCACCACTCTACATTCTGTCTTCTCTGTTTCTTACCCTTTCTTTTTTAGTAACCCCAGATGCAGCTGTCAGGTAACTTTATCTCTTTAGCTTGAATTGTAGAACATTATATTTCATTGAAAGTCTGTTTCACTGCCATAAGGTATTAGGAATTATTATTCTATCTGTGAGTTCCTTCTTTACCTTATTGATACTAGTACTTCCCAGTTCTTTTCTTTTTTGTCAACCCATATATTTTAAATTTTTATTTTAGCAAACACCATCAGCCTTCTTTAATATTTTGCCTGTTTCATTTATTGAGATTAATATTCACCAGGAATTACCAATGGTGGAGGTCAATAGGATTACCTCGCTTCTCCTCACCGCAGTTATCGACCTGGAAGCTGTTGTTGTCAGGTGAGGTTTGAAGCATAATTTTAACCTTCGTTTTTAGAACCTTCTTTTTACTTCAAACTTGTATTATACCAGTTTTTAGGTTTTTTGATGAAATTGAATACCTATAGTGAAGTTTCTGTCACCTTGACTAAAAATGTCAACAAATGCTCTTCATATTAAAGTACTAACTTAAACAAATTTTATAGAAAGGGAGAAGAAACTGAAGCCATCTCGAGGATCTTTACCAAGTTAACTGTCATACTTGGTGAGTACAGTGAAAGTCTCAGTATTTTCAGCTATCTTTGTACTACTGTAGTGCTATTATAATATCTCCTTACTTTTGTCTAGTTTTCTCCATTTTTATACAGTTTTCTTCTTTTTTCCATGATGAACCAGATTACTGTACATTTCTTGTATGTTTAGTAAGTAAACAAATCTTTTAAGCTTTGTCTGGTGAATTTTGGGGGGCCTCCAGTCCCTAACCTCTAGGCTGAGGCTTCTCAATATCTGTGTTTCATGTATTTAGTACTGCTGTACAGTGGGGTATGCTATAACGAATGGATTCTACTACGAATATTCCTATGACAAACGGTTTTACCTATAAAATTGAGAATGCTATAACGAACGAAACTCCTACAACGAATTTTTTTTTCTTTTTTTTTACTAATTTATTGTTTTTTTTATTACAAGTATTAATGATATTCTTTATTTCAGGGGTTTTGAAGCATATTTATGCACTTTTTTACAATTTTTACAATTTTATATTATATTTTTCAGTGTTAAGTGGTTGTATTTGGGGGCCTGGAACGGATTAATCCTATAACGAACGAATGCTATAACGAACAAGGTTCTAGAACCAATTAGATTCGTTATAGCATACCCCATTGTATATGAAAGTCTTATGCCTCTGGGCTAAATTTGGCATCTTTTTCAACCTTTAACTTTTATACCAGTTATATAAACTAATATTCATGTACTCTAAAGTGAAAACTTAATACAATACTGTACTGTACATGTTAAGAAAAAAGTTAACACTTTCATTTTTGGGTGGAAAATGGAAGTCTTTTGTGGAACTCCCTTGAAATCTACTGCAGCATCCAATGGGTTAAGGTAAAGGGTGTATTATAAAAAAAATATTGGTTATGTTGCCTTACGTGTGTGTGTGTGTGTGTGTGGGATATACTGTACTTTGAGGATATGAAAAAGATTGAAGCTAAGATTGAACATGAAGAGGTGGAATTAAAGAAGTTGGAAGGGAGAGTAAATGAGGACTGTAATTATATGCACCTTTTATGTTGATGATCCATAACAGAAGTCACAGTTTACTTGATACTTGGGTTAGTGTGTGATTTTATAGTACTGTACTGTGTTAGGATTGGGCAACTTTGTGCACCAGGAAGTTAAAGTGGGTTGAATTCCTCATGCCCCAACTTGTGTGTCTGCTCATTCCAGACTTTTGAATCACCTTGTTCCTATGGTCTAAAGTCCCCAGTACCAAGCATATTTACTGTTTTAAGATATAAGAGTTTGTTTTTGTATGAATGAATGGTATGTGAGGCGTAGAGACCTTGTTGTGGAAGGGGAACACTAAACCGTACACATTTGGTGAGGCAATTAGGTGAGAATTGCTGCTACTCTCAATTTTTGTCACCCTACACTTTAATAAGAAATGCATTGCAAGGCAATTGTTTTTTTGTTTTTTTATGAGTATGTCAGGTCAAGAGGGAGAGCAATTTATGTTTATAAAGTGAAATTTTTGCAGGTCACTGTCCAGAACTACTTCTTGATACCCTTCTTCACTGCAAAACTCTTACCAACGCTAGTGCAAGACGACCACTAATATTTGCCCCTTTGATAAAGTAGGTTCTCCCTTCCTTTTGTCCAGAGTAAATATTTTTTTTACTGTATGTAGGCATCCAGTTTTGTGTTTATCACTGTCCAGCAGATTTTTCCTTGTACTTTCCTCCAATATTTTATTTCTCTTTTTGCACATCTTCCACTGGCTTTACCCTGATACAGTACTCCTTTTTGTAAGTTTATCTTACTTTATGTTTTCTCCCTCCTTGTTCAAGCACCCTCTCACATAGCTAATGTTATTCTTGTAGTCATTCTTTTGGTATCCATCCATTGGATTTGGTAGTAGTTTTACCATTATAATTAATTCTATATCAGTATTACTTTTTATCCTGTTTATAGGACTGGAGGGGGATTGTATTATTAATATAATTTAAAGATAATTTGATACTTTGGGAATTACATTTTAACAAATTAAAGATGAACAAATGATGTTGCTCACAGTTTTCTTGTCAGCTCATCTCTTCACTTATTTCAGGTGTCTTTTTGCCACAGTCAAGAGTAAAAGTGTTAAGTCCCCAGAACTGTACCTGAAGTATTTATTTCTGGGCAAACTATGGCTCTTTATGACAAAGAAAGAAGAGGTACTGTGCTTGGTCTGATATTTTGTTTCCTTCTGTTTTTCATTAGTATCCAATCCAAAGGAAGTTGTAATTCATACTTGACCCCCTTAGATTAAATTGTTTCACATTTCCTAGATTACTTTTGCTTTGTTATAGGACATGTAATCTATTCTTCCATGTTTTGTGTTTGAGATATTAAAGTGGTTAAAATTTGCTATTAGTTGTGTTTGATTACAATATAAAACAATAAGCATTTATTGACCCTTGTCTGGATATCTTTGGTTGTGTTTGTGTTGTTATCTATCAATCTTACAAGTGTAACAAGTTCTGTCTTAAATTCAGTTGCCATTATTGAAATTTACTGCCTGTTAGCTGAGTCCGTCCTTTTGTATATACAAGTATGTGTTTAGAGCATAACTCTTGTATTGGTACAGATGTTATGATGATATTTTATATGAATATGTTTCATGAATAGACAGAAGAGTTCAAGTGTTTATGTCAGTTGTCAGATTTGCCAGTCATTGTATAATATACCACATTACTTTTGTTTTAACAGCATTTACATTACAATGTTGCTTATAAACCCTGTCTCCCATAACTACTGTAGTTGGCTTAGCCTTGGTGATATCCATTTTATCTAAGGAATTAGAGACATGATGCATGAATATAAAGTAGTTTTACATATTCAATACTAAACACCTGTACAGCATGCCCTTAAAATTCGTGGGGGTTTGGGTCTCAAAATAGTCGCGAATATCATTTGCTGACCAGGGGGGTACATTTTTACTTTGTGCAAAGAAATGTATATTCCCTTTATATGTTTGCCCTCAGGACAATTATTTTTTTTACCTGTATTGTATATATTGTGTGTACACACACACACAAAAACATACAAATAAATAATAATGGGAAAATCCTCTTGCAAATACAATGACCCCTCGGTTAACGAACTCAATCCGTTCCAGAAGGTCGTTCGTTAACCGAAAAATTCATTAACCGAAACCATTGTTTCAATGGGTTTTTGGGTAATTGGTTCCAGCTCACCGAAAATTTCCTAAATTCAACAAAATTGGTAGAAAAGTTCACTTACTTTGAGGTGTGTATGTAGAAGGCTCCTGGATGATGATGATGGGATTTAGAATGGGGGTGGAGGAGAAGGAAGAAGAGAAGGCATTGGGGTGGAAGAGAAGTCACCCCATGGTGCCATTTCACCCATAAAATTTTAGCTCTCTTGGTGTAATTCAAGATTATTTTCTTCAAATCAACACTGCACTGCATTATATATTGTCAATATGTAAAATATATTTCAAAATGACCAATAATTTGCTTGGAAACACAGAAAAAAAGCGTTTAGTTGAAGAGAGTCTCAAGCAAGATGTTACCTCCAGTGAAAACAGAGAGAGACTGACGCCTGTTTACTGTGTTAAGAGGCTGGATGCCGCGCATTAAACTAGTCACTTTACCTTCAATAATGTTCAATAATTATTGAACATTATTGAAGGTAAAAAATTGAATATTAAACTTTTAAAATTATTGAATAGTATAAACTTCTTGATATTTACTAAAATAGTAAGGAATTTAAGCCCTAGAACCGATTAATGTATTGGCGGACTGATACTAAAGCTGGTTGCCCAGTCAGTGCAAGCGAAAACATGTTGAGGTCGGTTCGTAAGAAATTCGTTAACCGAATTTTTGTTCGTTAACCGAATTGAAGATCCTTATGGAAGGCAGTTCGTTAACTGAAATTTCGTTAACCGAGGCGTTCGTTAAACGAGGGGTCACTGTAATCAGAAACAAGACAACAAAATGTATGAAAATTTTGAAAAAATGTGAGTCTACTCTGAAGTCAATTCCGTGTTTTTTTTATTAGTTAACTCAATTTTAATAACAAAGCACGAAGTTGACTTGAGGGTAGACTTTCCGATTTTTTCTACTTTTTGATACTTTTTATTTTGTTTCTGGTTATTGGTGAAAGGATTTTCCCATTATTTATTTGTGTGTGTGTGTGTTTATATCTACACACACACACACACACACACACACACACACACACACACACACACACACACACACATACATACATACATACATATACAATACAGGTAAAAGAAATTAATGTCTCTAGAACGAATGGCTCCCTGTCCTAGCCGCGAAAATGCTGGTAACTTTAAAACTACCCGCAGACATTCTTGGGTACATCCAGGGTGTCATCCACGAATAATTGAGGTGCATGAATTGAAAATCCTCAAATTGTCAGGGCATGCTGTACTTTATGTTCACGTTTTGATGGTGTTTTGCATATTATTAGCCTTACAATAATCATTTAATAAAGAAACAGAATATAGTATTTACATTATGGTTTCCCTCCAGGTTGTACAAAGGAGGGCTTATATTATCAATTCTGTCAAGCTTCCACGAAATTTTGTTGATTGGGCAGAACAAAATGAAATCCCCTGGCTGAGGCTGGATACATGCAACACCCGCCTCATTCTCAAGAACATGACAGTCTCATCGGCTTTCAGAGTAAGAATAAAATAAGGAACTTGAAATTTTGAAGATTTGGAAGGGAAGGATTTTAGTTGTGTTAGGTGTTAGATAAGGAATTAGAATATTTTTAGTGGTGAAATTTGAGTGATATTCTGATTTTTTTTTTTATCTTATACTCATATAGTATCTTTTTCTATCTTTCAGACTCTGTACCCTGGTGATGCTCAACAACTATCTTCCTTGAAAACTGATTCTCAACAGCCCAAGAAGAAAAAGAAGAAAGATATAGTTTATAAGATACATAATGTGAGAACTGCACAAGGTTTCTCAGAAAAATTGGTGAAAGTGAAAAGTAAGAAAAAAAATAAGAATAAGAGTAAAAAACTGCTGAATGAGGACTCTTCTACACAAGACACCTCTAATGAAACACTGATGCTGAAAAATAAGAAAAAGAGTAAAGGTGACATTAACTCGATGGTTGTTGAGGACACGACACAAGATATCTCTGAACAAACGGTGAACGTGAAAAGTAAGAAAAAAAATAAGAATAAGATTAAAAAGCAGCCCAATGAGGACACTATTCAAGATGTTTCTGATGAAACACTGGTGCTTAAAAATAGAGATAAGATTAACAAAGTGCTTAATGAGAAGAGTGCACAGGCTGTTTCTGAAGTGATGGTAAAAGTGAAAAGTAATGGAAAGGACAAGAATAAGTTTATCAAGATGATTAATGAGGACTGTGAAAAAACAGTCAAAATGAAAAATAAGAAAAAGAGCAAAAGTAACATTAATTTGATGGCTTTTGAAGAAACTGCACCAGATATCCCTGAAGAAACACTGATGAAGAAAAAGAAGAAAGATAGAAATGTTAACATGATAACTAACGAAGAAACTGCACCAGATGTCCCTGAAGAAACACTGATGAAGAAAAAGAAGAAAGATAAAAATATCAAAATGATAACTAATGAAGAAACTACACTAGATGCCCCTAAGAAAACAGTGAAACTGAAGAAAGGGAAGAAAGATAGAAATGTTAACATGATAACTAATGAAGAAACTGCACCAGATGTCCCTGAAGAATCATTGATAAAGAAAAAGAAGAAAGATAAAAATGTTAACATAACTAGTGAAGAAACAGCACCAGATGCCCCTGAAGAAACTGCACCAGCTGCCCCTGAGAAAACTGTGAAACTGAAGAAAAAGAAGAAAGATAGAAATGTTAACATGATAACTAATGAAGAAACTGCACCAGCTGTGCCTGAAGAAACTGTGCCAGCTGCCCTTGAGAAAACTGTGAAACTGAAGAAAAAGAAGAAAGATAGAAATATTAACATGATAACTAATGAAGAAACAGCACCAGATGTCCCTGAAGAAACTGCACCAGCTGCCTCTGAGAAAACTGTGAAACTGAAGAAAAAGAAGAAAGATAGAAATATTAACATGATAACTAATGAAGAAACAGCACCAGATGTCCCTGAAGAAACTGCACCAGCTGCCTCTGAGAAAACTGTGAAACTGAAGAAAAAGAAGAAAGATAGAAATATTAACATGATAACTAATGAAGAAACAGCACCAGATGTCCCTGAGAAAATAATGAAACTGAAGAAAAAGAAGGAAAAAACTAGCAATAAGGATAAAAAGCTGACTAATGAAAAAACTACACCAGTTGTCTGTGAAGAAACACAAGAAATAGAACAAAATAAGATGGATGTGTCAGAGAGAGTCCGTGAAGGAATTACTAACACCAAGTCAAAGCATAAACAGATTGATCAATATACCACTAGAATTGAACAAGATGAGGAAATGTGTGCTTTGGCGGGAAAGATGGGCAAATACACCAGTGAGTCGGGTACTGAACACACCAGTGAGTCGGGTACTGCCAAGTTGAACGAAACAAGAAGCATAGAACTGAAGAGTACATCAGACATTCAAGGGGTACAGGAAGAAGTGGTCAAAACAAAGAGAAAGAAAAAATTGCACGGCGCTGCCAAAGGTAAAGCGAAAAAAATGAAGATTCGCGACAATGAGGAGAAGGATGGGAGACAGGTGAAAGCAGAAGAGGAAAAGGAAGTGATGATGATGTCAATAGGGTTGAAAAATGTAAAGAGAAAGAATTTAGAAACAGATTTAAACCAACCGGTCAAAAAGAAAAGAAAAACTCATGTAAATACAGATAATACAAAACATGAAAACTTAGATGTTGTGGCTAGAAAGAACAAGGGTAAGAAGCTCAAGAATATACAAAGTGAAGAAGTCATCAAAGAAAAAACTGTTGAAGATTCTCAAAAACAAAATCAATGGAGCTTGGACAGAGGGGAGGTGAAATCCTATACATCACCTCTAACTAATCCTTCCACATCAAAGAATAGTGCATTATCAGTATCCTTGATGGGAAGGAAACACACTGAGGTTGAAGGACATGCTCGTGCTAGACCGAGAATTATAACAATGAGTGACTCGGCACTACAAAGAAAACACACACATGTTGCGAAGCAACAAAGAAAAAGACTGAGTTGTGAGGTGGGACGTGAACATATGACAAAGCAAGAAATAGCCAGTTTACATCAGAAAATCAGAAAGGATGGTATCACCTTCACTGTTATAGATCTGGAACCAGCAACCAAAACTCAGTTAAATGTTAAATGTGAGGATAGTTCTGAAGATGATCTGTCAAATATTAAACATGAGAGTTTTGAAGTTCAAGTAGAACAAGAAAAAGGAGTGAAAAATAATAGAAGTAAGTACAGGGATTCATTACCCAGAAAAAGATTATTTGTCTCGCCCATTGTGGCTTCTGGAGACCCTACCTTGTGTGATGAATCTATTAGAAATGGCAGGGAAGTTGCCAGTGAGTTAAATACTAGTGATAATGATGTGCTTTATCACCAGGATACAGATACTAACAAGAGTGATGTGGTTGTTGACCTGAGTACTGGTAGTAAGGAAGAGGTAATCACAGTGAAAAATTGGGAAGTGACACAGGAACTGGACACTAAAGATACTGGAGTGATGGAGTTACCTGACCATAATGAAATGTTTGAAAAGGCAGGTAACAAAATGAGTGAAGTGGAAAATGATTCGGTTAGCAATATAGAGGAAGTGGTTGTGGATTCAGATGGAGACAGTGAAGTAGAAAGGGAGTCAGACAAGAGTGTTGAAGAATGTGGTTGGATATCAGATCACTTTAATAGCAACGAATCTGAAGACTCACTGTGTGTAGCTGTTGATCTTAACCACACTGAAAAAATTTTAAAAGTTCCAGATGAAGCGTGTGAACTGACGTATGTGGAGATGCCAAAGAAAAGTCCTGTTGCACTTACAGGATGTGTTGAAGATTTAGATTCAGATATAGAGATTATTGCTGTGGAAGAAAAGGGTCCAAAGCCTGGCAAGAAACGACGTTCATTTGCTCTCAAAGATTATGCAAGTGACATTGATGAGGCTTCAGGGTGTGAGAGTGATATTGTTCCATGTGATGAGAAAGCAAAGATGTTTACTGATAAAGAGATCAAAGATTACCATAACAAGCTCATGGAAGCTGAAATGCAGAGAAAAGTGGAGGATATATTGAAAAAGGAAGAAAAGGAACTCAAAGAGAAAATGACAGAAAATGAAAATATGGCTAGCACAAATGTTACTGAAGAAAGTTCTACGGTTAATGAAAAGAAGAATCCTGATGATTCCAAGGATTTAGTTAGTCAAATGATAAATAACCTTTATAAACCTTCCATTATGGTAGAAAAAACAGAAATACAAGAACAGTTTGATGAGGAATTGAATGATGATAGTGATATTGAGGTTATCCTACAGACAATTGTGAAAGACACAGGACGGTTGACAAGTATCCATGGAATATGTGAGAGATTATCATCAAGTAGAATGACCATCAAGGAGGAATTGAGAGAAAGTGATAATCAACAAACAGAGGAGACTGAAGTACAAGAAAATAAAGTAGTTGAAAATTCACCTTTACATTGTGAAAAATCTGAAGTTACCAAGGATGAAGACATTGTAGTGCTTGGCAATGTGAAGTCCCAAAATAATGACGTTGTAGTACTTGGCAATGTGAAGTCCCAAAATAATGACGTTGTAGTACTTGGCAATGTGAAGTCCCAAAATAATGACGTTGTAGTACTTGGCAATGTGAAGTCCCAAAATAATGACATTGTAGTACTTGGCAATGTGAAGTCCCAAAATATTATAGACCTAGAAACTGAATCTCTTAATGATGAAATATCTAATGAGTGTAATGATCCAGAAATTGAAGTACTTGAGTTGGGTGTTAATGTAGAAAATAAAATTTGTAACAAAGACATTTATATTTTGGAGACATGTGTTGAATATACCAAAAAATTGCAAGAAAGTGTGGCCCAAGACACTGAAGAACCTGAAGATAATGTTACAGTTGATAGTGTAGTTGAAACTTTGCATGTGGAATGTAAGCAGGAAGGTGGAATAAATAAGGACCTAGAGTGTACTTCAAACATTGAAACATTGAAAACATCATATAAAAGGACATTGAATCATGACACTGATGACTGTGGAACGGGAACTTCAAAATTAGAGGTTGGTGATGTATTTAAATCATTACCTGATGTAAAATCATGTGAGAAATATTCATTAGAAGAAATTAACAAAGATGGGAAGAAGGGAATAAATTATATTAAAGGGGACAAAATAAATGAAGAAAGTGACAGTGTCAGCTTTCATATAGTGAACACCATAGATGATCTAAATGAGATGGATATTAAGGACGAGTTCATCAAGGAAGAAACTTCTGAGCTAAGTAACCATGTCACTCCTTTAGATATCTCCTATAATTACAATGGGAAACCTGTAGGTGATAGTAATGGACTCTTAGATGGTGGTAAACTGAGTCCACATGACATGAATCAGTTATTTAAAACATCCATTCCAGATTTTCCCAAGTCTGAAAGTGGTTCACCTGCTATAGCAATGAGTTCTCTAGTAGTGGAATCTGTGACAAAAAGTGAGCACAATGAAGATTTCCATGTTGCTAAAGAAAATGAGGAAATTACTTCATCAAAGAAACAACAAGAAAGTTTACCTTATCTTTCAAATACTGTACTAAGTTCCATTAACAGTATTGCACAACATGAGAGTGATGAGAGAGCCATGAAAGCAGAGATAGAATCCATAACAGAAGAATCTGAGAAGTCTTTAGAAATGGCAGATGAAGCATATGAAGCTAGTAGTGATGCTTCAGAGGATCCTACACCCAAAACCAGAAGGAGGGCTCGCTCTCTGCGAAGAAATCTTACTGTACACGCAATCTTGCAGGAGTTTTCAGATTCAGATGCATCTCCAGTTCAGCGAACTCGAAGGAGGAAGTCATCAGAAGTAACTGGAAATACCCATTTAGGATCAACACGGAAAAGGAGCCAAAGTTTTTGTCAAGAAACTGTAAATTCGACATCAGGAGCTTCAGTTAGTTTACAGAGTTCTCAAACTTGTTTGTCAGAGTTTACGCTTTACGAAAAAGAAAACGGGAAAGCGTGGACTGACAACAACAAAATGGCAACTACTGGTGAGGTACTTAATCATTGTGCCTCTGATTCTTCTGAGAATGACCAAACGGTTTATGTCTGCAGCAATAAACTGAATTCTTCAAATGTACCCATATCTGTGGCTGTAGTTAACAGATCATATACTATGTCTTCCAGCTCTGTTACACCATCAGCTACAGGAACCCCAGTGAAAAGTATATTAAATGATGGAGTTTCAAAATCTCCAATCAAATTTGAGGTACATAATATATCAGAAAGGTCTGTTTCTATCTCTTCTGTAAGGAGATCAAGTAGACTGATGGGAAAGGTTTTAGACCTTCAGAAGAAGCAGTCTGGTGGAGAAGTTGTAAAGTCAGATTTGGACACTCTGGCAATTCATAGTGATGGCTCAATTAAAAGTGTGGAAATTGGTGTGTTAATGGGTAAGTCAGGAAAGGAAACTATGTCTGACTCAGAAAGTGAAGTAGATCATGTTGCACAGTTGAAAACTGTAAGGAAAAGTCAAGCTAATGAATGTGGAATTTTTAATTATGAAAGGGAATATGAATCTCCACAAGTTGTTAAAGCAAAATTAACCTTTAACAAACTTTCTCTTGGTCTTGATGAGAGTCCCAGTTTAGATAGTTTGCCTTCCACCACTCTGCAGAATAAGATGGAAAGGAGTGATAGAGCATTTCAGGAACAAGGTAGTGAAAAACTAGTTAACTGCGGTGACAACATCGTCGAAGGAGATACGGTGAGTAATATGTGCTATCTTGCATCACGAAGAGCAAAAGGAGAAGGGAAAAAGTTTACTGAAAAGAACATTAGAAAAATATCAAATGTGAGCCGAGAGAAGTCAATTGATAATGTGAATTTGCTGGATATAAATGGTGAGAAAGCTTTGTGTGGCCGCATTGTAGATGTAAAGGACCAGACTTCAGTGAATACGAGAAGACAGGAAAACATAAGTGAGCAGTTGGATGAGGGGGATAGCCAAGTAGTTGATGAAACAATAGAACAAAATCAAGAGAGGGATGTGGAATATCTGGATGAAGGAGAAGAATTGGAAGTGCTATCCACATCAGGCACTGAAGAGAATGATGAAGTTCCATCTCATAATTTTCCAACAAATTTGCATCAAAGTGATAGTGAACTTGAAAGGAATAATGTTGGTGAAAAAAAAGATATGCCTGCCCTGAAGACACTACGGTCACGTTCACGACATCTTTCTCGTGGTAAAGGTGGAAAGAAGGATAGTGGTCTGGATGTCATAAAAAGAGAGGACATCAGTCCACCCATACCACATTTAAATATTCATTGTGTTTCAGAGGCAGTCTTAACTAAAGAGGTTCTTATCAGCCCAGAGGTGAGTGATGAAGAATGTGAATTAGTGTCACCTGGAGTTGCTAATGATGTAAATGTAACGGAAACTTTCACTTTACCTGAGGCTTTGTTAACTAGTCCCAAGAGAAGTCCTTCTCCTATTGCTAAATCAAGTCATGGTCCAAGGAAGAATAGTGGAGGTATCAGGTCACCACAGAAGATGATACCAGAAGAGCAAGATGAAACTACTCTTCCCAAATGCAAAAGTGAAGATGTATCTATAACACCTCATGCTCCCAAAGTTAAGAGTCTATGTGTTGTAACTTTACAGGACAAAGTAAAAAGTAAGGCATCTTGCACAGTGGGTACATCAGACAAAAGTACTCTTACCAAAAAGCCTCCAAAGACTCCAGTTGTAGAGTCATTGAAATCACCCAAAACCCCCTCAAGAAACAGAATGAGCATCACTAATCTTGAATCATTGTGTGCAGAATCATCTAGGAAAAGAACTTCTAGTAGGAGTAACACACCAATAAAGAAAGTAACTCCTGAAATGATAGTTACAAAAGAAAACTTGGTGAAGAAATCTGATACACCTATGTCAGAAGATTTTGAAAAAACAGACAAAATTGATGTTGGTGTAACTGTTCACTCACTTCAAGAAACCGAAAGTAGCATTCAAAAAGTGACCCCAGAAACTCCTCTTGTTACTGTGAAGAAACAAAGTACTAGTATTAGCTTCCCAGAAACTATGCCCATAATTTCTAGAAATGAAAGTTCTGGTAGTTCAACAGATTCAAATTCCAGAAGAGAATCTGTATCAAAAGTGCTTCATAGAACAAGGTCTTTTGAAAAAGACTCAGAAAGTAATACTGCATCAGAAGTGAGGACTACCAATGAAGAAAGTGCAATTGATAGTGAAGATGAAAAGTTATTTGAGAATAGAGTTCAGCATCCAAAGAGTAAAATAATTATTCCGTCTTTGCAAACCCTTGACGAACAGCACATCATTTTAAGGGTACCCATCCCAGAAAACACCACATCTAGCAGCTCTCCAGTTTCATCCCTGGGACAGTATTCTTCTCTGAGAAGAAGCTCTAGGCTGAGGAAAGGTACAGAGTTGCCGTCATCTGAAATTCAGGTAAGTAGTTGAATTGTATATTGATAGCTTCAGAAAGGCTTGATTATACCCAAGTTTATTTTTTGTTCTCTGCTGTTGATATTGTGACAGAATCACACATGTAACAGATTCAGTTACAGTACAAAGTCAGCTAGAAGTCATTAATAAGTGATATATTGGCCTTGGAATTTTAAGATAGAAATGTAATATTTTTTTTTAGAGCATTTTGATTTCACAGGCTCTATTCAGAGAAAAGACCTCATAACATCAAAAGTCGGCTGTTGTACATACAAAGTAGTCTCCCTCATTTTAGGCCAATGGTGTAATGCAGGAGGGGGGGGGGGGTTGGATTATCCAAAATGTGTACTCACCCGACTAGGCTATCCAGGTGAAGAGAGTGCAGGGGTGATCTAAATGAAAGTACTATACTGTAGTTATGTTTGGGGTAAATGGAGTACTATAGAGATGTCACTCAACCGAGTGGCTCCCCATAACTTTTATCTTAAACAATACCTTTACGTGAATATGTGGTGTTTACACTTGAGTCCACTCTTTATAAAATGCTCATTATTATAGTGATCCCTCGGTTAACGAGATTTCGGTTAACGATTTACCTTCCATAAGATTCTTAACTTCGGTTAACGAGCAATTCCTCGATTAACGAGTTTTTTACGAGCCGACCTCAACATGTTTTCGCTTGCATTTGGCGGTCCACCAGCTGTAGTATTAGTCCGCCAATACAGTAATCGGTTTTAGGGCTTAAATTCCTTACTATTTTAGTAAATATCAAGAAGTTTATACTATTCAATAATTTTAAAACTTTAATATTAACTTTTTTAGTCATTTTAACAATTATTGAACATAATTGAAGGTAAAGAAACTAGTTTCTGGCGTGCCATCCAGCCTGTTAACACACCAGACAGGCGTTAGTCTCTCTCTGTTTTCAGTGGAGGTAACATCTTGCTTGAGATTCTCTTCAACTGAATGCTTTTTTTCTGTGTTTCCAAGCAAATTATTGGTTATTTTGAAATTTTTTTACATATTGACAATATGTAATGCAGTGCTGTGTTGATTTAAAGTAAATAATCTTGAATTACACCAAGTGAACTAAAATTTTATGGGTGAAATGGTGGCATGGGGTGACTTCTCTTCCACCCCAATGCCTTCTCTTCTCCCTTCTCCTCCACCCCCATTCTAATTCCCATCATCATCAACCAGGAGCCTTCTACATTCACACCTCAAAGTAAGTGTACTTTACTGCATTTATTTTTAGTTTGTATGTAATTTTCGGTGAGCTGGAACCAATTACCCAAAAACCCATTGAAACAATGATTTCGATTGACGAATTTTTCGGTTAACGAGCGACCTTCTGGAACGAATTGTGCTCGTCAACCGAGGGACCACTGTACTGTATTGTATTTCTATCTGTAAGGCTTATTTTCTTTAAATTTTTTACCTTTAACTAGTTGTTTATTCATTAATTTGTTTTTTAATTACAGGATCTGGAGGGTGCTGGTAGTGTCAGTACTGTAACTCAGAATAAGAAAAGTGCCAAGATAGTAGGAAATAAAGAGAGTGCCAGAGCTGGCATGTCCAGCTCAACTGTTTCAGACTCATCAGTGATGGAGGAGCTGCCTTCTGGTGTGTGGAGCCCAGTTAAAACAAGGAAAAGATTGCACTTGGGGAAAATTAAGGCATCACAAAGGACAGCTGAAGCAACTAGCAGTTTATCCTCTGAGAGTGAGTTGTCAGATCCATCATCCTCTGAGAAAGATGAATCCTTAGTCAACAAAACTTGTATGCATGATGCTTCACCAACCAGATTGTCATCCAGGCCTCGTAGATCAATTGTGGGGTCATGTTCCTATATGAGGAAGGAGTCACCTGTGGGGTTGGCTTCTAAGGGAGAATCACCAGCCATGTCACTCTTGAAGAATAATGAATCACCAGCCACATTATCCTCAAGGGAAAATAAATCCCGATCCAGATCATTCTCAAGCAATACTGAATCCCTGCCCAGATCATCCTCATCCAGGCAATCAATGAAGAATGAATCTCCAGTCAAGTCATCCTCAGGCAAGAGTGAGCCACCACCCAAGTCAACCTTGAAAAAGATTGAAATGCGAGGCAGCTCATCTGCAGTTGACCACACTATTAAGACTGAGCCAAATGACAAATGTAAGGCATTTTATAATTATGGAAAACATTTTTCAATGATCTTTTGGTTATGGGTGATTCAATTCCTTTTTTACTTAGTGGTGCCCCTCAGTGGCTTTCAGTTTGATATACTGTATGTATTTTGGAATATACTAAGTAGTGAATCATTGAAATGTTGGTTAAACTTATGTTTAAGGCAGTTCCAGCAATGGACATAATTTTCTTTCTTTTTTTTTCTTCAGGTACAGCTGCAGTAGTTGAAACACGCTCTTTACGTCGTCGCCAGGTTTCTTACTTAATGAACTAAAGACTTGACTTGAAACTATAGATTATCTTTGCTTGTGGATATATACCAAAATTTATTAGAATCTGTGTTCAGTGGGTATAAGGCCAAAGAATAATTCAGACGATGGCATTATCAAAGTTTAATAGTGTTGTTAAAATTCTGAAGTTACATAAGAGTAATGTTGTACATAATATTATACTATATGAACACTGAGATAAGGTTTACTTCCACATAACTGTTTTCTTCTTCCATAGCTGTCTTACATAAGGGGTAAGCAGTATTAAAGTTTTCGTAATTTTTTTAAAGAATTTACCTGAAGTATAGTACAGTATAGTACTTGGATTACTTTTGGTGACTCCTATTTTAGCACTGTTTGAGTAGGATTTAGATATTACATTGTGCTCTCTGTGCTTAAGATGGAAAAGTTGTGTGTATAGTGTAGTAGTTCCCACTTAACCCTTAGGCCCCAGGTGACGTTCCAGAACGTCCTACTAGCGCGCCCCGGGTGACGTTCCAGAACGTCCGCCTATTTTCCCGCCATGTTTTTATTTTATTATATATATATATATATATATATATATATATATATATATATATATATATATATATATATATATATATATATATATATATATATATATATATATATATATATATATATATATATATATAAATGATATTTAAATTTTTATTTTTTTCTTTCTCGTTTTAACCCTGCGTGGGAGGTACTGCCAGCAGCACCCTAACCTGGGGCTTAAGGGTTAATTTGCAGGGTCAGTTTCAGGCAGACACTGTACAGAATATTTTTAATCATTTGCTACGAGGGTAGAAGCACAGTACAAACAAATTTTATTGAATGCAGAATAATGAAAACACACACACAGGATCACATTCTGGCATAAATTCATATGCATAACTCAGTAGGTGGCACGCGTGGTGTGTGTGACACGGTGGTTGACGTGTAGGCTATGGCATAGTCTAGCACACACATGATTAGTAATGCACAATAATCACCCCATTATAACCTCATGCTAAACTGTGCACCGTATCACTATCACATACGGGGCCATAACGTTAATTATAATTCTGACGTGTCACAATTACTGTCATATGGCAGGAATCACTGCACTGCAGATGTGTGACCCAGGAGTTCCTCCTTATCAGCATCTTTTCTTGTGTCTGACGGTTACTGTGGTCCTTGATGTTGAGGTAGAACTTTGCCTTCTATGCCAGCACCATGAACTTATGACTAACAACCCTTTTACAGAAATGGGATTTTCGACCCTACAAACTATTGCTTCATTCTCCCTTGGCCTTAGAAACAAGAAGCAATAGGTGTGCAAAGTCAATGGTTTTGGTCAGAGTGGCACTTATGTCCATTGTATATTTTCAGTCTGACTTTTTTTCAATAACCCATTAATTATTACTAAAATTAAAAAAAATCATGGAAGTGAAGGAAGGGGAGGTATCATACAGTTCATCCAGTGGAGTTACATGTAAATATTTATATAACCACTATACAGTGTTAAAGTTAGCTTCCCATTATTTTATATTATTGTTGTTATTTTATCTGAGAATGCACATTTTTGGGATGCAATTAGTCAATAGGTCTTTGTGTTTTTAATAATTATTTTATACATCTTTGTATGGTATTATTCTTGCCAAAATTGAATTTGATTGAGCACAATTTTAAACATGATCTTAACTGCAGTACAGGTAGTTCTGCTATAATGCGATAGTAGTGTTCTTGTAAAACATCGTGTTATAGAAATTCGTGTAATAGAAATAACAGGGCTTATGGAGAAAATAGGGTTAGGTGCAGATTACTCCAAATCGAAAAAAAATTTCGTAGTTAGCCTAACACAAAGGATAGCACAGTCTAAATAAATGTTACATTCATATCTAATAATGAAATCATACAGTAAATGTTACACTTTACCTTGAAAAAATATGAATATAACTTGATGGGGGATAAGGGTGATGTTGAGGCTGAGGAGTTATGAAACATCAAGCTTTTCTTCAAGTGTTATAGCCCTTCTTTTACGATCACCAGAGTGCTTCCCAGAGATATTCTTCTTTTCCATAGTCACAAAATTGGAGAAACAGTAATCAGAATTCACTGAGGACACTTAAAAACTTCACGTGTTTCAAACAAAGTGTGGAGTAAACAGAGCGCGCGGGTCTAAAACGCTATGTATTTTGTTTTTCTCTTATTTAAAACTTTACATTTTACATATACTGTACAGGTATACTGTATACATAAATATTACATAAATTATTTCTGCAATTCTTCGCAAACAAAACACATAAATCAATTGAACATGTGATGTCGAACGTGAACTGTAAACACTGCATAACCCCGCGCCAAGCCACAATGTACAGTACACTTTAAGCGCTACTTATTTTGTTTTTCTCTCTTATTTAAAATTTTACAATTTACATATATATACCTGTATAAGTAAATTGTAATTTACATATTATTCATATTATGCTAGAGCGCCCACAAAACATGAGAAACGTTTGAGTCCCCAGTAGAGATGTCCGTTTCTATCCACTCCAGGATGTCCTAGTCCTCCGCTTTTTGTGTACTCTCAGGGACTCAAGTATTTCTGTATGAGACAGGATGATAAGGGAATTGAATTTATTTGTTTATTTATTTATATATAATATACTGTAATATATTAAATATACTGCAAGTATTTTTAATTTTATATACGTGTTTCAAAAAAAGGAGGCTACATTTATGGTGACTATATGACCAAACTCCTAATCCATGACGTGACTTCTGTTCATTATTTATATCCTAAATTTACCACTGTAGGTAGTTTCAAGAATTAATGCAGTCATTTACTGAATATTCTTGCAAAAAAAATTTTAAATGAATTATTTATAAGAGATAAGTATTATGATCAGTAAATATACAGATATGCAGTACTGACCACCGAACACAAGGATCGCTAAAATAGCCACAGGCGGTCACAGTCAAGGTCACTTTCCTTTCTTGTCACTGGCAAATGGGGAGGGGGGATGATAATAGCAGCTGTTTATTATTATATGTTAGACTGGTTTATAATACTTTTTTACTTTTTTACTTTTATCCTCTTCGCCACTGATCGGCTTGTTAGCCGCCATGCATCGGTCAGCCTCTTTTCCTTTATATTTTATCTATTCTGCACTTATTTTAATCCAGCTTACCAAACGTAAGTTTCAGTATAAAATAATTAGTGTACTGTAGAACCTTGAGTGGTTTACTGTATACATAAATATTACATAAATTATTTCTGCAATTACAAACAAAACACATAAATCAATTGAATATGTGATGTCAACGTGAACTGTAAACACTGGTGATGTAGAGAGAGCGGGTGTAAAACGCTATGTAATTTGATTTTCTTTTTATGAAACATTTACTTATAATATATAGGTATACTGTATACATAAATATTACATACATTATTTCTGCAATTGTTCACAAACAAAACACATAACTCAATTGAACATGATGTCGAACGTGAACGAAGCCACAACAACCGCTCGAGTGAATCGCCATAGAGAAAACGGAAGGCTTACAAATATCGCTCCTCATTCATATAAACGCTTCGAGCAAATTCAGGTTTCAAACACGCTATAGCAGAACTCACTGTACAGTACTATCTATCATCAGAATTAAGGAAGTATTCTCAAAATGATAAGTACACAGGTTGAGAATATTAATTTTGGTGGATAAACATTACTGGTATTTTATTTTGCTATACACACACACATTATTCAACATCACCTTGAAGTTTATTACAGTATTGTACAGTATTTGCAATATACTGTATCCTGGAACCTTGAATGTTTCTACTTTTTTTATGTTATAATGTCCTCGTAAAAACAAGTACAGTACTGTACAGAATTTTACAAATTAATCTGGAGTTTTTCCCAGTGCAGTATACAGTACAGGGCTGCCTCACTTATCGCAAAGGTTATGGGCATGAAACTTGTTGCGAATAGCGGAGCAATTTCTCCCATAAGAAATAATGTAAATAGGGCACGGCCATCGCTGTGGTCACGGCCGTCAGATTTTAACACTTGTTTTACTCAATACATATAGAACATAAAAATAAATAAAAAACAAGGGCACAATATCAAATAACATCAATAGCAAACACTTTGAGTTTATTAGGCTTATATGTTTACAAGTACAGTAAACTTTACATGTTTGAGTGTGTGATGTTTTAATGTTTATGTGTGTGAGGTAAGTTTAAACGTAGACTGTTAATTTACCTCTGATGTGCTGTGTTGCTTGCTGAAGTTTGCATTAGGGGAGAAGGTGAAGGTTTACTGGGGTGAGTGGAGGTTGGGTCGTCAGTCACCTCACTCTTCTCGCGTGTTTAAGGCGCTGGGTCTGGTCGTCAATCCACTTACTCAACATCTGCTCCATACTCTTTATCTCAGCATCACGGAACCTCGTCACTGTAGTGGCGGTGGTGTTGCAGACCCGGCCCTCTCCTTGATCTTGTCGGTAACTATAGAATGCAATCGTAGAGGAGCTGCCGCGTACGCGCCCAATTACTGATGTTCCTTCTCCGTATTCATGTCTTTTTTACGATATCCACTTCACGTCCAAAGTGCCCCGCGATCTTTAAACATTGCTGGAAAGTAGCTGGTCGCTAGGGCATTGCGAGATCACACAAACTCATGCCAGCACGTGAGACTGAGGCGACGGGAGCGAGGGCGGAGGAATATGTACACGCACACCGCTGTCCTACCCTACGTTGAGGCGCATTGTACAATATGTTCGAAGAATTTCCGAATAAACGGGCAAACCATTGCGACTAGTGGAAATGGGTAACAATAAATTGATTGCGGATAAACGGAGTTATGAATACCGAGGCTATGAATAACGGGGTTTGCCTGAACTGTTTTATGCAGAGTTATTATACTTTTCACCACAATTCAGTGGGCTTAGTTAGTCAAATTGTGTATTAGAAATCTGCATATTGGCATTCGGTACCATACCTGAAGTAAGCTAATAAAAATAAGTTATGATGGAGAATTGATTAATGAAGGAGGATAACCATTGTATGGTTGTGTAAATCTTGATATACTACACTCTCATGGAATGCCACTGGAAAGATTGACATTAAGATTGGCTATGTAGAGGTGGTGGGTTTATATCCGGTAGTTATGGAACATTGTACATCTTCGTCTTCGTAGCATCAAAATAGTTTTTGTTAAATACAGATTGTCTATTCTATTTGCTGTGATGCCTACCAGTTTAAGGTATTATGCACATATATACAAGACCGTCTAAGATGAAAGTGTAATATCAATACCAATATGAATATAATTAAAACAAATTGTGATGTTGCTGTGTACAGTATACAGTACTGTACTTTGTAAAATGTATGTACAGGTACAAGTTTATAGTAAATCCTGCTGGGATACAACCCAGGAGATTGTAAAAATCATACTTTTTAAACCAGATATGTCCATGAAAATGGGTTTATCTTCTAAGGTGTCACAGTATTCACTTAAATCTCCCTAATTAAATTTTATTTTCAATTGATATGATTATGTGCTTCAGCCCATCAATCCTAATGATTTCCGGTCTTAATGTCTAGATCAATCTCCATTTTTCATTAAAATTTGCTTTAATTCAGATATTAGGTTCAATAAGTTTCATGTCTTAATAAGACCTAATTTCTGGAGAAAATGAAGATTCAGCTTTAACCTTAATGTGCCATTATGCTTGAGGCAAAGTAGGGGGCTTTGGGCCCCCAGTCTTAATAAGACCCTATTGTAATAGGGTATGAAGACTGAACCCAAATCTTTGGGTGCTGATAAGTTTGGAGCCTGTTAAAACAAGGACAGTTTGTTCCCACATTAAGACCAGTTTATATGAAAAATTAAGCTTTATTCCTCTTTCTTAAATCTTATGGTACTGTAATAATAATCAATTATTTCTTTTACATTGTCTTATTAGTGGAGTCCATTGAGCCACAAACTTATTGCCACACTCCTACATTATACATTCTGAAGATCAATGTGATACTTGTGAGTAAGGTTCTTGAAGAATTCCTCATATGAAAGCATCATAAAGCTGTAGTTTAGCAAATTGCATATTGGGCAGTATTTACTGTAGTATAATATATTTCTGTGTAATCAAAGCTCAAAAAGTCCGAACACCTTTTGACCAATCAACATGCAGATTTATAATAGTATGTATTGTACTTTTGAGCAGTAAAGAGCCTAGATAATTTGTTTTTGTATAGAATAAATGAATAAAATTTAAGTGTTATTTGTATGTAATCAATATAAAGACAATTAAATGAAAGGATAAATAAAAGTATGAAAATAGTGATAATCAGTGTTTTATTATGGGGTGCTGTACGGTACAGGCCACCACTCCCTATACCAGTAGGTGTGTGTACATATGTACAGTATGCTCATTTTAATGGAATCCGATATACGAACTCGATTTAGCTGAAGGCAGTTTTCTGTAATTTTTCGCTCGATGAAGTGAACTATACCTTTTCCATGCTAACGTAGCCCATAAGCCCCGCCCAACGTCTATAGCTACAAATAGCGGATTGGTTCCCCTGAGTATCTTACCTCCCCCAGACTACCGTATAAGTGTGTATTTGCAGAACTATGGTATGGGTCAGTCTACCAGCTGGGACCTTTTCGGTTTGAGGATGTTCAAGTTTTTTATAAAAACATTAATCTGACGTAGTTTTACGTTCTGATTTTGAATATATATATATATATATATATATATATATATATATATATATGCTGATAACCACATAGGAAACAAGAAAACATTTAGTTCTCAAGTGCTTCGGTAATTCATATCTTCAGGGGCGAGTAAAGACTAAGGAGTAATTATTGACGAGGCTATATATAGTTAGGGAGATCAAGTCCCTAGGGACAGCAGGTGTCCACCATATTCAGGTCATAAGGTAGTGACCCAACCCTTTCACCTGGTTACCAATCTTCTTAATCACAAAATTATCCATGCCATTACTATGCACTTTCATGTAATTCACATCTTTAGGGGTGGGTAAAGGAGTAATTATTGACAAGGCTAATGCATACAGTAAAGGAGATCAAATCCCTAGGAGCAGCAGGTGTCCACCATAATCAGGTCATGAGGTAGGGTGACCCAACCCTTTCACCTGGTTACAAATCTTCTTAATCACAAAATTGTCCCGTTTGTACATGCCATTACTCAAATTCATGTTGACAGATTCGGTATGTTTAATGAGACTTAGATTCTATAATGTTCCTACTGACAATTAAATTACAAGGTAATATTGAGGAGGCATTATCCCACTCAGTGCAATGCTTATTTTCTCTCATAGTGGCCTCCTCACACACTCAAAATTCAGCTGGATGGGCTCGCTGTGCTTGCCATGTTCCCTGCAGTTCAACATTATTTTCCAATTCCAAGAGAAAGTGTTTTTGGTCCAAAATAAAACATCAAAATGTTCATGACGACATCATTCCTCACTTGGGGAAAAAAGTGAAATAAGAGGAACCCATAATATATCAACTTTATTATTCGAAATCTCGCTTTAATTCATCGTCCCCTACATGAAATACAGTACTTAACAAACTGTATCTGGGACTCACTTTCTCTGAAGGTAATTTCATATACAGTTCCACCAAAACTTCCAGTAACTACCTGGAATAATAAAAATATATGGTGGATGCTCACTCAAAACATGTAACATTCAAATAGTATATAGATTTCCACTTGTAAGTCCTTTCCCAGTACAGTGAAGGAATCCCTGAATTAAGAGCAATAAAGAATCTTTCACTTATTGTTTTTCTGTGTCTTGGTACTATAAAGTACCTGCATGCCATTTCATAACTGAAGTGTAGCCTATATACTGCAAATATAATATTAAACAAATAAAAATATATCAATCTAAAATCTATTACACACTTTATTTTCCTCTTCTATTTGTTCTGGGTTTTCCTTTTCCTTTATTGTTAGAATTGGATCTTCCTTTCCCCATTTTCTTTTTTCTAGCATCAGACTTCTTCATTGCTCTTGCATCCTTTTTCATTCTCTTGTCAACCAGTTTGTAAGGACCCTTTGTTCCTTTTGGCTTCTTTCCACCATGCCTCTTCTTCATCACAACGTAAGTTGTTTCTTTCTTCTTCAATGGTGTCAAGGCCTTCTTGTACAACCTGAGATATCAATTCATTTTTAGACAAACTAATAATGCATTAAAAAAATATTTTATAGGTAGCCACATATAAGATTTTCAGGGGAGGGATGAGGGAGTAAGGATGAAGTGACAATGATGGAATATTTAGAGTCAAGATTGAAAGAGATGATAAAATATTTGAATATAGGATTGATTTTGAATTCCAGTTTCATAAAAAAGTCATGAATGAGCAACTTTGTGTAGTCAGTTAGTTTAGAAGTTGTGACTGAGATTTATGAAGTGAATAAATTCAATAGCTGAATTATGCATCACCTTCATATTGGAGTCATGAAGGATGTCCATTTGGTAAGAAGATACCCTTTATTGCAAACTATATTTTTATATCTACAAAACACACTGGGGTATTCAGTAGCAATGAAATATCTATTTGCATTAATTATCATTACATGAACTGTACACCAATGCACTATATACAGTGAAAAATATATTAAACATGTCAAAATGTTAGAAGTACTGCATCAGAGGGAGGGAGAGAAATACTTCAAACAAACTTACTTCTTCACTTCCTGTGCCTTTTCTCTCTCTGACATATCAGCATTGTTTGTCACATTTTCTGCTGTCTTCCGTGCTCTTTCCATTCGGCTTCACACGCCGCTGCTTACAGCCTTTGCCTCAACCACCTTCTTTATTGTCTGGGCATTGACATCCTTCGACCGGTCACGATACATTCTCAAGTCCTCCTGCAGGTTAAATGCTTTAATTATGAGGTCTACAATACTTATAACTGAATTATTTAAGTATTAATATACATTTACCATAAACAGTCATTTTTAATATGCTACGAGGTAATAAGTTAAAAAAAATAAGAGGCTTCAATTCTTTTTCATATGCTTTTACAGTCCTAAAATTTTGATAAACATATAAAATCCTACAATCCTATTTTCTAATAGCCCCCCATTATGTCATCCAGGGTTGAACTGGTAATTAATTTTGGATATACCAATCATTCCTCCATCCCCATTACATTATCCGGTTTAAGAGCTATGCTTACCCAGTCAGCAGGCACTGGTGATTGGTATATCCATATAAAATACCAGCAAAACCCTGGATGACATAATGTGGTTGTCTGAGACCATGGAACTCCCCAGTATGGAGACCATATTATGAAAGCCACCTAGTTAAATGTCAGTACACTAGAAAAAATAGAGTATGTTGTCAAAGCCTATAAAATAAGACAAAATGGACTAGTGAGTACAATGTACTGTAAGTGGTTCTTGAGGACACTAATACTGAAGAATGACTAAGTATTAAAAATTTTACCATATGAAAACCTATTTCCTTGATCTCCCAGGATCAGGGTTGGCCAATTTAAACCAATGGTTTAATTAATGACCTTTGAAATAATCAAAGGTATTTAGAACACTAAAAGTCAATTATGCTTTGCCCATAAGTTTCAGATCACCTTTATATACATTTTCTAAAAAAATATAGACTATCTTTACTTTTTAAACATGTTAGTTTTCACTTTCCCCAAAAATGTAATTTGACATCAAAAATATCCCTGACAATAATACCTTGCATTTTGGCACTTGGGGTCATACCATGATTTTTTTTCATATTTACAAAGGTACAACTTTACATGCTGATTAAGGATCTGGGATCACAATTTAAAAATTTGAATACAGTAATAAAGATATTTAGAAAACTTAAGTCAATTATGCTGTGCCAGGCCAGGATGTGAAATCCCAAGATAGTCAACCCTCAAATATACATATGATTGTTACATTTAAGGTCAGATTTAAAACATACATCAAGTACAGTAGTACATATATAGAGTTGATCTCAAAACTGCATGCCCCAAGTTCTGATTTTCTGGCACCAAAGAGGTTCCAGAGAGCCTTGAATCTATGCTCAGGTGATCGTGGAAGTAAATGTACTTCAAAAGGCAAAAACAAGACTTATGTATAAGAGCACTGTACACGATAAAAGGAAGAGCTACTTATTGAACACAGCACGTACTGCTCCACTTCCTACCCGTGTGTTGTATGCCTTTTCATCACGTGTAACCATTCTGGGAGATCATCTCCATCTCCAAACATATATCTGAAATACAATAAATATTAATGATCCACAGGTTAGTGCTCCAAACTACTGTTTAAGCTTTAGTAGTATGACATGCGGATGAAACTGACAACCTCTTGCAGCTTTGTTGTGGAGTAAAAACTACCGATTCCAACCAGAATCCATGAGATCTCTTTTCACTTTTTTGGAATGGAGCATTTTGGATGCAAGAGCAAGACCCACAGGGTCTAGTCCATCCTTTTCTCTTTTTCTTCCTATCCATTTTTGTTATACCTGTAGAAATAAAATTTTAAATATAATAAACAATGTCCATACACTTTCACATGAGCAAAGAACAATGAAAGACTTTCAACTTTATTTGTAAAACATTGCATTAGTCACAAAATACACCTATGATTTGTTACCTCCATCAACTGAATAAAAAAATACATGTGTAACCACGATTCTTTACTGATGTGATTTTCACACAAACATCTCAGGTTTTATTTGTAAGACATCTCAACAAACTTTGAAGAACAAACTGGGGATATCATAAAGGAAGAATCAGATATAGAGGATTCATGGAAAAAGTTTCAAGGAATCCTTGAGGAAGCAGAATGTGTACTCTGAAAGTCAAGGAAAATGAGAAGGATGTTCAGTTGGATAAATCACTAATCCAGGAGAACTGTGGTGTGATGGGTAAAACTTTAAGCTCACATACTGCCAGATAAATGTGAGGTTAAATCATCATGACATCCAAGCTATTACCATTACCAAAACACTGCAAATTTTCAACACTTAAAATTGTGGATCCCATACATAAATAAAGAATAATACCTGCATTAGATTTTAAATGTGCCAAATATAATCGGCTTGAGAAGGGGTGTACAGAATAAACGTGAAATTTGATATTAATCTGAAATCAAATAAGGTTGTTGTACTCACCATTACCAATAGCCCCTCCTGCCAGCTGTGGGCCAGTGGATTTTGGTTCTTCATCAGAATCTGTGTCTGAGTCGGAGTCAGAGTCAGGAGCATCCCGAGCTTCTTCTACATCAGAGTGATCACTGGTGTAGCCCGACTCATTGTCCTAAGTGAAAGAAGAAATGGAATCAAATTTTTTTTTAACATTCTTCATTCCTGAAAGGCAATTACAGTACAGTATATAACAAATGCCTATATCACAAACTGCTAAAACACAGAAACCCCATAAGGATATTTTATTTTTCCATTATGACAGTTTCATATATTATGAGCAACAGTAGAAGGCTCCAAGTGCCAAGGAGAATGAGAATTCACCGAACAGTTAGTTTAATATGACATGGTCAACAGCCCCAATCAGTAGCTGCCTTATATCTTGTCCTGGTGCAAGAACAATTGGGAGCCAAACAGAACATTTCTAGATTCGATGAAGTATTTAATTAAAAATGGCCTTTCATCATCTTCATCAATATTTTACAGCCATTTTCCATGCTTGCATGGGTTAACTGTGATTATTTGATGGCAGCTCTCCATTTTGCATGGTCTCCTGCAGCCTCTCTCATCATGTCGACTCTAATGTAATTTTTTACAAACTCTACCCAGGTCATTCTTGGCCTACCCATGGCTCTCCTCCTCTCCATATTTAGACTCGTGCATCTCTTAATCCAATTGGTCTCATCCATTCTCTCCGCATGCCCCAACCCATGTAAGCTGACCTTTACTGAAAACAGGGTTTCCTATCTTTCTGTGTCACATTATACATCCACCTCACCATTGACATTTCAGCTCACTCAAGGTCTTATTGTTGTAAGTGTATAATTTGAGTTATTTGTGTGACTTTTGAGCTAAAATATTACCGTAATAAGTTGATCAAATGGATAAATGAAAATACCTGACATAATTATTAAATGAGCCCTTAGTACAGTATTCTGATATAAAGAAATATAATCTACATTCTTATTTTTCAAAATTAGTTCATTTCAACAATTTCCTTTGGCAAAATACATCCAACATTAACAGGGTGTCTACATGCACCAAAAAAAAATTCCCGGTTTTCCAGATGTAAATGTGAAAAATTCCAGATACATTAATTTGGTATTTATTATGACAGAATAACAAATTAGGTTTTCAATAATATGTACAGGATATATACTATTGGAAAATTTAATGATGATATAAATGATATTAATTAAGAAATTGAAGACCCTTTTGGGACCCACCCCATGTCTAGTGATGAACATTGACAAAGACCTTGAACCCCCCTCCATATTTTTCTCCTTGGATTTGTACCGATTCACGTGGGTTGACCTGGATATTACAATAAAAGCCGGAAATCTGCCCAAAACCAAAAAATCACCCCTGATCCACCTATATGACTCAAGAAGATAATATGTGGAATAATTCACTTAAATAAAGTCACTTAATTGTAAGAACAATTCATAGCTGACAATACTTATTGCAGAATTAGTAGGTATAACCTGTAATATTTGGTTATTTGATCACAAGCTTCAAATATGATAGGTACACAAACAATTCAGTTATTCAAGTGGACTATTTACTGGAATTTGTCCCTAAAAGTTTAATTATTTACCTATTATATAGTACATCATTAATTTATAGTAAGACTACTGTCAAATTGACAATATTTTGAAGTTGAACTGAATTTTCATACAATTCCAGATTTATTTGTAAAATTCTCTGGCTTTTCCAGGTTTTCCAGCCCCAAATAAAATTCCCTGCCTTTTCCAGGTTTTCCAGACCAGTAGACACCCTGTAATTACCCCATAATCAAATCAGGACCATAGATTCGGAATCAGCATGCTCAGGGGTACCTATAATGAGATTTTCAACGAAATCTAATTTTGACAAAACCACAAAATATTAAGCCCAGTGATGAACATTGGCAAAGACCTTGACACCCCCACCCTCCATATTTTTCTCCTCGGATTTGCAGGATTCACGTGGGTCGACCTGGACATTCTAAAAAAAGCCGGAAATCTGTCACAAACCGAAAGATCACACTCCTGATCCACCTATATGACTCAAGATATATATATGTAAACTTATCCACTTAAATAGTCACTTAATTATAAGAACAATTCATCTTTGACAACACTCAATGCAGAATTATTAGGCATAACCTGTAATATTTGGTAATTTGATCACTAACATGAAATATGATAGGTACATAATTCAGTTATTCAAGTGGACTATTTACTGGAATTTGTCCCTAAAAATTAAATTTTTTACCTATTATATAATACAACATTAATTTATAGTAAGGCTGCTGTCAAAATAACAATATTTTGAAGTTGAACTGAATTCACATAAAATTCCAGGTTTATTTATCAAATTTCCTGTCTTTTCCAGCCCCGAATAAAATTCCATGCCTTTTCCAGGTTTTCAAGACCAATAGACACCCTGATTAAACCTCACTTGGCAAGTTGGAAGGGGGACCCCTCCCCACGGTCCCTGAATGGAAACACTTGAGAGAGAATAAATTTACTGTACCATACCTCCAGCTTGGTTTTCTTTTTAGCCTTTTTGGACTCCTTTCTGAGTAATTTTCCACCACTTTCCTCAAACTTCCGGATGGCTGTATCCAACTCATAGTCTTCATCAGCCTCTGTCTCAAGGTTCTTGAACACATCCTATGTACATAGACAAATGTATTAGTGCTGTATTTTCTTTGTGAAAGATAAAAAAAAAGAATTAATAGCATTAAAACACAATACCACACAGATCAATATTAAGTGTCAACAGTGCAAAAGACAGTCAACATTCAAAATAAAAAGAACAACCACCAGCATTTATCAATACTATGAACAAATCATACAAATAAATGATAAAATAGGAATCAATCCTAAAACACTAAAGTACAACCAAGCCTGGATAGAATGACTCATCATTGTACCTATCAATGGCGAATGATCTTATTTTCAAATTCATTAGATTCCTATAACTCAAAATATTCAAGTTAAGTCCCTTGGGCTGGGGATTCAGCATTCTAGACTTGCTGCCTATACAGAATTACTTGATTTTGAAATACATCAATAAAATAACACTTGCAGGTTTAATGAAGCCTGTACAGAAGAATATTCAAATTATAAACACACACACCTGATTATACCAATTTTCTGCTTTCCTAGCTCTTCTTTCTTCTTGTGAGTCTCCAACCAAGTCAGTTAATAATGGATTTACAGCATCAATTTCATCTTCAACATCAGAGTCTGCTGGTTCAAGCGACATCAGCTCCTTTTCCTTAAAGCCTAAACCTTCTGCTTCCTCATCAGAATCATCAGAGTCATCCATACCATTTTCCTTGTCCTTCTTGCCTAAGTAGAATCTAGAAAATTTAAAAACCATTAGTAATCTGTTAATCTATCTACTGTCTTTAAAATAAATCAACTGTCCCTATTAGATACTTTCAAATTACTCTGTACTGTACTATAATTTTTTTCAGTAGAATTATCTGTAAATTTTCCATAGAACTAGGGATATAAGTCTTAAAAGATGAGTTAAATAATACAAATTCTTTCATGATCACCAAACTTTAAAAAATTCGCCCAAAAATTAATTTTTCAACAGAATTGCATCAAATTTTGATGCATCATAGTAGCAAGTAAGTTCTATCAAATAAACTAATTGGCAACTCTTGAGGCCAATAGGAAGGGAAAAACAGAATGATAAATGTGCAGCATTATCTCAGCAGTCAGACCGTGTGAGCCGTGTCCATTTAAATTTCCTTAACTCCGTGTGGGCTGCCTCAACTCCTGAATTACAGTGCTTACCCTACTCCCTGAAATAATTTCTTTTTGGTGCTAGAGAAGTGAAGTGATGGTTGTGTAATGTAATTTCTTTTTTTATTGACAGGTAAAGAGTTTAGTTTTCAAAAACCATAACTGTATCAGGCTATACAACCTCGTTAAAGTGACAATGTCTCAAAAAACGTCTCTGAAAGAGGATGATTTTCTAGAACTCCTGTTTAGGGACAGTGAGGATCAAGTGGATAGTGATAAAAATGAGCCTGGTAGTGAAAATGATCGTGATAACAACAGAAAAAGTCATGAATCTGAGGGAGATATTGTGTCGGTTGCATCCACGTTATCACACGCCTCACCACCAGAGACTCCCTCTACCACCATCCCCACACTAACAACCTACCACCCTCACTCTTCTTCACCACAACCTTCCACATCCCAAGCAACTCCTTCATATCTCCTGCATTATGCAAGCCTCATACCACTCACCAACTACCTACCTTCCCTCCTCACCCATAGGCACAAAAATAATCAAAAAAGATTTATCATTTGAGAATCAGTTTTTTGCTATTTTCTCAAAAACTACTGGCCTCATATATCTGATTATTGCGTTTGAAAGCTCATAAAATTCCGCTTCTAGCAGTGTTCCCTCGTGTTTATTAGAAGTGACAAAAGATAGCTATATACTTGTATTATTATTTTTTGCTTATGTTGCAGAGCAATGAGTTACGAAGCCAAAGATATACGGTTTATGGAAAAAAAAGTTTTGGAGGAGAAATTAATAAAGAAAAAATATTCACCACGCACTGTTTTACCTGCCCTGTGGGCCTCAGAGATGTGATCCTGGAACTGGGAACTTATCACATGTGCAGGAGGGTGAATATCCATAAATTATATAATTAATAAAATTAAGGATTGAGCCTGACACTCACCCTAGCCTTAACCCCATAGCCAGGCAGTTGAAGGGTGCCTTGCAGAGGAAGAAGAGTAAAGCATGATGGAACAAATTCTTCAGTTTACAAGCACAGTAACAAGAGCCACCTGCAGAAGGCTTCTTACTAAAAGATATAAATTCCACCTACAACTGAATCTTGTCAAGCAAGACCAATTATATAATTGTACTTTATGACATAACCACACATCAAAAACTGGTGTTAACAATATTGGCTACACATGCATTGGGCCAGGCAAGGCTAATCATTGTATAATTAATATGTACAGTATAGGTATTGTTAAATAGAATAAAAATTTTGTTTTGGTGTCATAAAAGCAAACATAAAAGAGACAGTACCTGGGGTGAGGTAACATGTTAATGACCTGTCCCAGCTAGTGACTTGGGTTCAGTAATTTGAACTAGGTACTGCACCTTACCCAAGAGTAATAACATAAGATTATTACAATTAAGCATTTCAGTTTGTTACAGGATAGCCAGATGATTTAGACTCGACTTCAGGACAATAATGAAACGTCAAGTGTCAAAAATTTTCTTTTAAGTTTCTAGAAAATGAGTGGCGTAAGTTACATGTCACTCATGGATCAACCCTTCCAGACGTTTCCTATATCTTTTCATATATCACCAATATCTTTTTTCAGCAAAACTGTCTGTTTGGTTCATAGAAGTGAGTCTTCCTCTTACAGCTCTACATACTTGTGTCAGAAAAGAAAATCAGGCTATGAGGAGGATTAAAGTTCTTAATACGTTGTCCACTAACCTGCCTGACTTATCAAGACGTCCACCTTCCTTAGTGAACTTGGTATTGGCCCCTCCACTTCTTCCTCACTCTCACTCTCAGAGAGAACCATGTCCACATCTTGGTCTACCACAGTGCTCAAGTCCTGCACCTACAACATAAAATAAGTGTCACAATTATGAATCCGCAAATTTGCTAACCTTAGGAGGCAAAGAATAAAATATGGATGAACTTCAACTATGGAACCACACTTTGCACAGTACGTACTTTACTAGTGTATATCTAAAAGTATGTTTTCTGTTAGGGAGAAGATATTGCAATAAAAGTGGTTAAAAATATGGGCATAAAAATATTTTACCATTCATGACAAGTCTGTTTTGTTACAGTAGAAACAACGATTTAATTAAACCAATAAGCAATAATATCAATTGTATAGAACCATTATGTTAGAGATAATTTTATGGTAAAACATACAGTACAGTGATATCCCCATTAGCCGGAATAATTGGTGCAGAGCACTTCTGGGAATGGGAGATTTCTGGATAACGAGACGACTCTCTCAAAGCCGTAAAAAATTCCCCCATCCCGGAATTTTCCGGGCAACAGAATCATTTTCTCGGAATTTCCAGAAAATGCTCCTGATTTTCATTTCTCAAACCAGGAAAAAAATCCCCCATCCCCGAAATTTTCCGGAAAATTCCGGCTTTGGGAACGATTTTCCGAAAAAATTTCAATTCCGGCTATCGGAAAGTTCCGGGTTTCAGGGATTCCGGCTAACGGAGATATTACTGTATTGTGTAGTTGTATACATACTGTATACCAAAACAAAGATCGAATACAAAAAACAGTACCGTCCATAAGCCTAGAAATAGCATTAACCCCTTGTGTACGAGGTCTCTCTGTGCTGAATAAAATCATCTGGCATTAGCCAATAAAATACTAAATGTGGAGTCCCCATAATGAAGGGGTATGCTGATTAAAATTCATTACCATAATTCTATTTTTCTCCCACTTTAGTAAGGACCATTCAAAGGGTACAGAAACTACAAAGAAGGGAGGAGTAAAAGGGCAAGTGTGCAAGATTTGTGTGTAATTCTGCTAACATACAATACAGGTGGAATGGAAGTTTGTACAGGTACATTACTGTACAAGATAAGTTCTCATCAATGGCCATATTACTAATACCATTTAACACTGAAGTCCATGAGCACAATTAATCAATGGCATACACAAGGAAAAACTTTATGCCTTACCTGAGACAATTTTTGTAAACTAAACAGTCCAGACTGAGTATTTTCTGTTGGGCCAGAATCCTCAGGAATAAGAGACTGCAGGCGGAGTTTCTCCTCAAGTTTTTTCTTTTCCTTCAACTTCCGCTTCCTTGTTCGTTTCTCTTCACGAGCTTGTTCTGTCTAAACAAGCAAGAAGGGATAGAAAATAGACATAATTAAAACAGGCTTATAAGAAGCAGAATAAACCTATATCTTACTCTTTTTTCTCATTAATCTTTATCAGACCTCTAAAATACCACATTGTCCCCAGCCATTTTCAATAAATACACATACAGTATTTTTCAGATTCATGATGCAAATATTAAGATATGAAAATGATAATAACAATCATTAACCTAAATTAAAAGAGCAGATGACTTTTCTAATCCATTTTCTGCTTGTTCACAGTTCCACCCTCAGAATGCCAACTTGAACTTTCCAAACTCACATACAGTATATTAATCCTTACCTTCATGTCTAGAATCTGCTGCTGTAATTTAGTCATCTCTTCTTCTTCCTCATCCTTTTCCTCCTCATTTTCGTCTATTGTTTTGTCTGTACTCAGTGCCTTTAACTTCTCTTCTTTGATTTTATCCAAGTCTTCCTATAGGAAACAAATTAAGTTTTATATCATTCATAATCATAAGAGAAATAATTCACCACTGTAAGCCCATTATCATGTACACTATATTTGGGATACATGGGGGTGCAAATTCTCACTATAAAAATGAAAAACAGAGGTAATAAGAATAAATGAAGAAATAATAAATTAATAAATACAAAGAATACTGTATACCAGGGGGAGTGTATGGTAGAATTAGTTTTAGGAGAACTGTAGGAAAACAGAGAACATACCAGGTAGCTAAATGAGGAAGAGCAATGCAAGTTCAGAATTGGGTTAGGATGTCTGGTTCAATAAAAAGTTTCTCGAAAAAGAGGATGAATATCTTTGCAGTATTTATGGACCGAGAAAAAAAGCACATGATACAGTAGAGAGAAAAGTAACATGAAAGTACAAGTGAAAATGGGATTAATAATAAATGTCAAATGTTATTCAGGATTTTATAAGGAGAAAAGTGTTAAGATAAACACAAGTTCCCAGGTAAAGTAGGAATACACCAAGATTGTGAAATGTTGCCAATCTCGTGTAATATTATGATGAATTAGGTGGATCGATAAAGATAGATAGATAAGTGCATTAAAACTGTCTCACAAGTTTACATTAGTTCAGCACATATTGTAAAAACAGTGAGGGGATACAAGCAATGGTAAAAAATAAGTTATATCTACCAAGGATAACCCAAACTGTTTACTGTACTGTGTTAGGACTTCCCAAACTGTCATCCACACCATGATCCTATTCTCTAGTACCCTCCTCAAATGTCGACACAACCTTTAAAAACACATCCGCTACTAATCAGACTGCAACCATCATATATCTTACCTTAACATTCTTCCTCCATGTCAAGAGCTGCCGCAGGTCCTTTCTTCCTAACACCTTGATGTCCTTACAGTTCTCTATTATGCTGTCTGTGGTTAATCTATGGTTCCTGATTGTTTCATCATCAAAGTTAAGCTGAAAGAAATTAGAACATACAAAATATAACATGTATATACTCTTGCCACCTGACTGAAGTGAAGCTATGCTAACACAGCATACTAAGCATTAGTACTCTAACTGGTTATAATGCTCTTGGTATTTACTGGCTAACACTTTACAATGTACTTATTCCTCAAGCCTGCAATATGAACAATGGTAGAACACATTCTGTATGCTAATCAAATAATATTTTCCTCTAATTAAAACTGAATTAGCTACAACAGGATTCATCAAAAGTACATATAAAAAAAATTTGAAACATGTACTAAGTATTAATTTTCCCTTATCAATATGACATGTGAGCTACTTGCATTACCTCTGATGCTTCTTGCAGAACTTCAGTAAAGCTTGCTGAGTGAATGAACTTTGACACAGGAACTCGGTTGTAGAGTGTGGTTGCTCCCTCGGCGTACCCTTCAGCTTTCCTGCTAGTCTGTAAAAATTTATTTTTATTATTGCAATAATTCAACAAGAAAAAACCTTAAAATGAAGGACTGATACCGAAATCCTTTTTTATGGTCAAGCCTGGAACTAAGTGATTCATGTAATGCACACACGAGGCCACAGGTCTAACACAGGAGACCTGTCATTTGTGAGAGGATCTAATATGATTAGTGTCCCTCTATCAACTCGTCCTTTCAAGGAAACAGACCCAGTTGAGGAGGAAAAAATGATCACGAGATTACTCCTGGCACTAATGTTACGACATTTGGGTCTAGACCAATGGATTACTGAGCAGGAAGAAGGGTGAATTACTATAAAAAAATTCTGACAAAGACCCACATGATAATTTCTTTTCATTTACAAAATCACACTAAAATTGTTTTATCAAACTGTAAAGGATAAATTTAGCTAGAAAACTTCTTTAAAAAGCATACAAGTTATGTCACCTTTTCTGGTTTGAGAAGGTTGAGCTTTGCCTTGGGTTGCATATTCAACTCTTGGAAAACATGTTTAGGTGAGAAGAACTGAGGATCAATCTTGTCAGGATCTAGGTAGCCATGACAAACCACAAAGATTTCTGCTGACTCATATCGAGAGGCCTGTGGTTTTGTGGCTTCTACCTGCAAACAAATAAAACCAAGTTAGAAAACATGGAAAAATAAAGGAAAATAAGTAGTACTGTACTGCTAAACTAATTACCTGTATACTCTATTAGAAATAGACAGCTCTAGTACAAATTTATGGAAGCAGCCTACAGTTCTATTTTATATTAAACTATAATAAAGTTCTATCATTCATTCATATACCCTTAAGTTTGAATACTTCCCAAATCCTGTAATTCTCCATCACTGTACCCTGTTCAGGATCATAAACTTTCAAAAAAGAAAAGGTCTTAAATTGTTTCTTAAAGGCTTCCACAGAAGTCAGCTGCTTCATGGATGCAGGAAATCGAATGTACAATTTAGGTCGGGCAGCAAAACAACATTCCTGTACAGATCTAGGTCCTCAAGGCATGAAGAATCATCACTGCTATGCAAAATCATTTCAGAATGTGTAGTCAGAGGAATTAGTAGGTCATTATTAAGAGCATGAACTCTATCCTAGCTTTAATTGGAAGCCAATGTAATTCAATGAAGAATGGGGTAGTGGGAGTCCTCGGTGGGAGAGCAAAAAAAGCCTGGCAACTCAGTTCAACACTGTTTGAACTTTCTTCAGCTGAACTTTCAAGAAAAAATATAGTCTTAGCTGCCCTGGTGGTGGATATGACACCATTTTACCAACTGCTGTTTCCTATGTGATGTACAGCAGTGACATCTGCATTTTTTATTTTTTCCAACTTAAACATCAAATACAATTAAAAGTAGACTTGTTTCAATATCCTATCCCAAGAACCTTATTACCTGGTCTTAAGGCTCATGCAAGCCCAATTCAGTAACTCGTACCTTTTTGAAAAGTTTTCTGAAGACGTACTCAAGGTTGAAGTAATCCTTGGACCGGAAGACTTTAGTCATAAAGCAACCACCTTTCTGTAGAAACTCACAGGCTAACTTAAAAGAATGAAGTACGAGCAGATTCTGTTGGTAGGCATCATGTAACCAGTTCTGACCTGTCATGTAAAGGGAAAATCAAGTAAACCTATTAATTATATCTAATTTTCTAGGAAATTCTTACTGAAATTATCTTCAATATAGTAAATACTTAATACCACACCCATTTTAATGAAAAGAGAGAGGGCTTGCCTTTAAAATTACGTACATCAATAGAATATTAAATTGATCATATAAAATACACAAGGTACAAAATAACTTGCTGGTACTGTATACTTTATAAGTCTTTTATCACTTACCAACATTTGGAGCACCATCGTGAAGAATTAAATCTGCCTTCCATGTCTTTAAAGTGGTCTTTAGCTCTTGCCTCACTTTCTCTGTGGTTATGTCCCCCACTATAGAGAGAGTCCCTGGTATGGGCCTGATGGGAAACAGATCGACACCAACAATAATCGAGGATACAGGCATGTATTTCTTTGCAACTTGCATCCATGATCCTGGGGCGGCGCACAAATCAATACAGACACGTGATTTTTGGAGAAATTCATATTTGTTGTTTAGCTGGATCAATTTGTAGGCAGAACGAGCACGAAAACCTGAAAATTTGGAGATTGTAGTTAATTATGAAAAGAATACACATTAGTAAAAGACAATACACAAAACAACTTCTTCAACTTTAATTAAGTGAGTAAAGATTTAATTTCTCTATCAGTTAAAATATGTAATGTATTTTATTCAAACAAATAATGAGTTAAATGTGAAATGTCCCGTTATGTTTCCCATGGATTGGTGTCACTTCATCCAATGGCAACACACCAATCCCAACAAATACTTTTAAGATACACACCTGCTATTTTCGCTTTGTGGTAATAGGAATCTTTACGCTGCTTCCCTGATTTAGCCTTTTTACCCATTTTGTTGGACTTAGGTCACACGTGTTGCTCCGTCTGTCCGCCTCAGTTTGTTATGGCTACGTATTTCAGGTTTACAATCTAGAATATAATAATCATTTTTATTAACCTTTCATTTAATAAAAACAATTTCATTTGATTATGGTAAATATTATTATTATAAATCAAATGCCTTAATAAATTTTTACATTTCTTTATATAAATATAATTAATTTAGTTTATATGTGATGCGGATATACAAAGACTCACTGGCGATGTTACCAAGTCAAACAGAATATGAAATGAAAACTTTCGTACATTTTAACTATCACAGTTCTCACAATTAAAAAATATATATATCAAAATTTTATTTACAATTTCAAATAAATTTAAATTGTAAATATTTTGAAATGTTATCAAAAACTTTATCTACAAGTAAATTCCTGTATTGGCAAAACTTGCCTTACTGGCATGAATACAAACAAAATAACTTTAAGGAGTATTATTGCTACTAAATTTGTCTAATTTAATTCGCATCATTATTGCTTTTATTATTATTAGTACTTCAAAACTTATCAACTCATTGTTATAACCTGTATGGCTTTTCTGTACAGTTTTAGTACAGGAGAAAACTTGCTACGTTTGGTAGTTTGGTAGGGTGAGTGGATCACCCTGGATGTAGTAACTACTGTATACAGGTAGTACTAGAATGAGTCAGTGGTTTATGTCATCAAGTTATTGGAAGCTCCAACAACTCCCTGAATACGAATTCGCAACTTTCGTCTTACAACAGGTACCTACTTTACTGCTAGGTGAACAGGGACTAATGGGGGCTAGGAAGTAAGTCCAAACAACTTCCACCGGCCCGGGAATCGAACCTGAGACATAAAGGTAAGCATGAACTTAGCATGCTGCCCTGTTGGGCGCTGTAAACTCTTTTGCGCTTCACCTTACACAAGGATGTAGGGGGGAGGGGTGACCCCCCTCCCCCCCAAAAAAGGTACTAGAATGATTGACAATACTGTACCCAAGGAATACATTTTGGTATTACATGGGTAACTATTTGAAGAGAAAAGTGTTTGTATTCATATTCGTGTATTTATTTATGCTTCATCTTATCTTTAATTTCCATCTTATTTGATAATATCTATCTATCTATATATATATATATATATATATATATATATATATATATATATATATATATATATATATATATATACAAAATAAAAGAAGAAAAACACGAAGTTCCCTCCTCTGTATATATACACCTTGTTGTACTCTTTTCCTTGTGGTTATCAGCATATACCTGAATCACGCTCACCTACAGTGATTTACTTGCACATATATATATATATATATATATATATATATATATATATATATATATATATATATATATAAATATATATATTATCAGAGAATATGCACAGTAACAAACACATCACCTGCAGCAACAAACACATCACCTGCAGCAACAAACACATCACCTGCAGTAACAAATACATCACCTGCACCAACAAACACATCACCTGCAGCAAAAAACACATCACCTGCAGCAACAAACACATCACCGGCCTAGAAAACAGTGCGTTAATGTTCGAAATAAGGCAAACAGAGTATTGGGTTTTATATCTAGAAGTGTAAGTAACAAGAGTGCGGAGGTCTTATTGCAACTATATCTTGCGCTAGTCAGGCCACACCTCGATTATGCGGTTCAGTTCTGGTGCCCCTATTATAGAATGGATATAAATTCACTAGAGTCGGTGCAGCGAAGAATGACAAAAATGATTCCGGGACTTAGAAACCTTCCATATCAGGATAGGTTAAAGAAACTTAACTTGCATTCCCTAGAAAGACGAAGAGTGCGGGGAGATATGATAGAAGTATTTAAGTGGGTGAAAGGAATCAATAAAGGGGATATAGATAAAGTTCTTATAATATCCGAGCAGGATAGGACTCGGAGCAATGGATTCAAGTTGGATAAGTTTAGGTTTAGGAGGGAGATAGGAAGAAACTGGTTCACAAATAGGGTAGTGGACGAGTGGAACAAGCTTAGCAACTTTGTAGTGAGTGCGGGAACTCTGGAAAGTTTCAAAAGGAGGCTAGATAGATTCATGGATGATAGAGAGTGGTAGTAACTCTCGACAGGAGCTGCCATGCACAGGCCAACCGGCCTATTGCAGACTCCTTATTTTCTTATGTTCTTATGTAATAAACACATCACACACAGCAACAAACACATCACCTGCAGCAACAAACACATCACCTGCAGCAACAAACACATCACCTGCAGCAATAAACACATCACCTGCAGCAATAAACACATCACCTGCAGCAACAAACACATCACACACAGCAACAAACACATCACCTGCAGCAACAAACACATCACCTGCAGCAACAAACACATCACCTGCAGCAACAAACACATCACCTGCAGCAACAAACACATCACCTGCAGCAACAAACACATCACCTGCAGCAATAAACACATCACACACAGCAACAAACACATCACCTGCAGCAACAAACACATCACCCACATCAACAAACACATCACCCACACCAACAAATACAACACCCACGCCAACAAACATGACACCCACACCAACAAACACAACACCCACAGCAACAAATACAACACCCACAGCAACAAACACAAAACCCACAGCAACAAACACAATGCCCGCAGCAACAAACACAACACCCACAGCAACAAACACAACGCCCGCAGCAACAAATACAACACCCGCAGCAACAAACACAACGCCGCAACAACACAACACCCACGCCAACAAACACAACGCCCCGCAACAAACACAACACCCACGCCAACAAACACAACACCCGCAGCAACAAATACAACACCCACGCCAACAAACACAACACCTACAGCAACAAACACAACACCCACAGCAACAAACACAACACCCACAGCAACAAACACAACGCCCGCAGCAACAAACACAACACCCACAGCAACAAACACAACGCCCGCAGCAACAAACACAACACCCAGCAACAAACACAACGCCCGCAGCAACAAACACACCCACGCCAACAAACACAACGCCCGCAGCAACAAAACACAACACCCACGCCAACAAACACAACACCGCAGCAACAAACACAACACCCACGCCAACAAACACAACACCCGCAGCAACAAATACAACACCCGCAGCAACAAATACAACACCCGCAGCAACAAATACAACACCCACAGCAACAAACACATCACCCACAGCAACAAACACACCACCAGCATCGGGGGCAGTTCCAGCCAGACACCAATCCTCCCTCACTACCTCCAGTGCTGGTCTTAAATTGTCATTCCGGTTGTCATTATACAGACTGTCGTCGCCTGGATCGGCTGTGGGCTGACTGGAACGTTTATATGAAGAGTTGGAATAGTATGGAAGAGTGATTAGAAAGACTGGGGAAGGGATGGGAGAGTTAAAGAGTGATTGAAAGGGTTGGGGAAGGGATGGGCAGTGGTGGGTACAGTTCAGCTAACCGCTAATTGGCGGATTAGCGTTTTCGCTAACGTTGGAAACCATTAGCGGACCAATTAGCTTCCGCTAAATTTAGTTCCGCTAACAAAATTTATACATGTTTGTTCCTGTCTGTTGTAAGCGTGTGACGCCGCGACGCGTGTCTCCAACAGCCAGTCAGGCAAGCTTGGCTGACTGCGTGTTAGAACGCAAAGATATCTTTAGGGCCAAGAGAGCCACTCTGTCAGATGGCAACTTTGAGAGGCTGATGTTTATGAAGGGCAACCAGCATCACGTCAAGGCGATGGAGAAGGCCCAGCCACTGCAGCGGAGTGAATGGAATTTTTCGAATATTAAAGTTTAATTGGCATTGAAGTCCTAAACGTTGAAAAAGTCCTAAAATATCCAAAGCCTCATTAATTATAATTACCCCGATCGAAATGAAGATCATATATTGCAACCCAGCATGCTCAAGGGTACTTATATTGGATTTTCAACAAAATAAATTTTGGCCAAAAAATATCGTCCGCTACACATAGTAATTTTGATAAGATTTTACGACACCTATCTCAGGTTAGATTTGAGGGGTTTGACAATTAATTCTTCCAGAAAGACACAAATCCTGAAATCTCACCTAGGGAAACCGCTCGTTGGCTAAATAATTGTATTGAAAAAAGTCCTAAGCTTGGAAAAAGGTCTAAAAATAACAAGCCTCATTATGGCCACCTAATTACACAATCAGAATGAGGATTATATATTTGCAATCAGCATACTCAAAGTACTTATATGGATATTTTCAGCAAAAATGTTTTGGCTAAACACGTAAATCTTATAGCTCAGTAATTTTTTATTAAAATTAACACTTCTCTCGAATTAAATTTGAGGTTTAACCAATTAATTACTCCCAGAGAACACCAAAACACCAAAAATCTCTTACGAGAAATAACCCATAGTTGACTAGTAATTAGCATTATATGAAAAAAGTCCTATAAGCATTGAAAAAGTCCTAAAAATACTCTAAATACCATTAGGGCCACTAATTACCACCCAATCGAAACGAGATCATATAGTTTGCAAATTAGCATGCTCAAAATTATATATTGAGATTTTCAGCAAACAAAATTTGGCCAAAAAACACTAGAATGTACTACCTTAAGCAATTTTGACCAAAATTAACTTTTCTCTCAAATTGGAATTTGGGGGTTTACCCAATTAATTATTGAAGAGAACACAAGAAACACCAAAATCTCTTCGAGAAACCCATAGTTGGCTAGTAATTAGCATTGAAAAAGTCTAAGCTGAAAAAGTCCTAAAGCGTCACTCCAAGCCTCATTTAGCACTAATTACCCCCAATCGAAATGAGGATTACATATAGTTGCAATCAGCATGCTCAAAATGTATATTGAGAATTTTTCAGCAAAACTCATAAATTTTTGGCCAAAACGTAAGTCATACCTTTAGTAATTTTTTGAAGCCAAAATTGACTTTTCTGCAAGTTTGGAATTTGAGGGGTTTAACAATTAAATTACTCCCAGAAGAACACAAAAAACACCAAAATCTCACTGAAAACCCATGGACGTAGTATTAGC